GATTTCTGTCGTCGTTCGGGGGGGCACTCATTCTGCGACATGAGACAAGAAGAACGCGTCGCGGGAGAATAGAGGCGCGGGGGGGGGTTATTAACACCTCCTTCTTTTTTTCTTTTTTTTTCTCCCCCCAAAAATCAAAAACGCAGAAACCACAGGGGGGAGTTTCTTAATATTAAAATATTAAAAATATAAAATATAAAAATATAAAGGGGGAGAGAGAAGCGTCCCAATTGGTATTTTTTGCGATAGACATTCGGCCCCCTCCATGTTGGGGGGGGGAAGGGCAGAGATCCTCAAGTTTCTTGGAGGTGAAGATGTCGATGGCGACCAGGTGGACTTTGGCGTGCCCGTGCTTGCCGGTCTTGGAGGTGGACATCTCGCCGATTTTGCAGGGGCGGTTTTTGATCACGACGTAGCCGTTCTTGCGCAGGGCAGAGCACTGCATGGGGAACGTGGCTGAGGCGCCGGCGTCGGCGCTCTCGAAGGTGTGTTCATGCTGGTTGTAGGGAGAGGGGGGGGGGGGGGAAAAGGCTGTTAGTTTACATTTACTTATTTTCGTATATATAGGAGTGCATGTGTATTTTGATGCTTAATGGGACAGAGTTCGTAACGGGTTAGGAGGGAATGGGAAACTATGTTGAATAGCGTAGGCCAGGTTCGCGAGGGAGAGATGCGGGGAAGTTTGATGGGACGAGAAAAGGAGGCACCAGCAGACAACGAACGGCGACTTTGGGAGACATACCTGCGCATCGTCGGCCATGGTGATGAGATGGGATGTAATGGATGGATTGGATGGAGCGATATATAGAAGCAGAGGTATGAAGAGCAAGGAGGCAAAGGAGAAGGCCCCACAAGCGAAGACGAAACGAGGGGAGAAGAGAAGCGAAGAGAGAAGAGACGTTAAAAGTGGGAGCGAGTGGCCGGAGAGCAAGAAGCAGCTGGGCCGGGAGAAATGCTCAAGGGTTAATTTTCAGGTCAGAAGAGACTAATTTTCTTCTCTCTCAACAGCCAGCCCAGGGCAGGCCAGTCCTTCTTCCAGCAAATAACAAAATGAATTAATCAGGCAAAAGTTGAACTTGGACCAAGCTCCGGGGAAAATTTTTCTGACCCTTTTTTTTTTTTTTTTTTTTTTTGTTTTTCCTTCGGTCGGTGCGGAACGAAACAGCAGAATAGGAGCAGAGAGGAGGGACTGGGCCCGGCAGCGGGAAAGGGAGGGGGGGGCTGGATTAGCTAATCGGCGCAGGGGACTAAACCACATCTAGTTAGTTGCTTTGGTGCAACGGCGGGCAGGGGCCAACGCTAGGCTGTTTCGGGCATGTTTGCACATGTTTGTCTGTTGGTGTCACGTGATAGGTGTTTGCCAAGAACACGCGTTCTTGGCTGCTGCGGCTGGCTGTAGCTCGCTGCATTCTACTACGGAGGACGGTGCGACCGCTGGCAGCCATCACAAAGCGCATTGAGGAGGTTGGAAGGAGGATCATCTCTTGACAGCTCCAACCCCAACCCCTCCCCCTCCATGTATACAGATGGATATTTGGAGATTTTGCACAATGTCCCCCGCCCCCTTCTAAGCTCATCAAATGTGGCTGGACCGTTTCTCCGCCCACCCCCCGGCCTCCGGTGCGTCCACACCTGGCTCCCGCGCCTACTCCCCAGCCCGCCGTAACCCGCTCCTCTCCGCCGCCTCCTCCCACCCTGGCCGTCCAGGCTTCAGTCCTCGCTCCTCCTCCCTCTCTCTAGCCACCTCCCCCAATGCCTCTACATCTTCGATCCCCGCCACCCTGCGCCAGGCAAATGGCTCCTCCTTGTTGCCCAGACCGGACGGCTCGAAGCTGGACTCGATATCACAGCAACAACAACAACAACAACAGCAGCAGCAGCAGCAGCAGCAGCAGCAACAGCAACAGCAGCAACAACAACCGGACCCCCTGGAAGTGCTGTATAACATCCTTGGGAAACAGCCAATGGCAGGTGAAATGCAGACTGTATCTGTTGTGAAGGCTGCGGTGGAGAAGCCGGAGCGTCTGGTCGAGGATATTGAGTTTGGGGAGTTGAGTTTGGAGGAGTTTGTCCAGCAGGGGAAGAGTGGTGGGGATGCTGATGAGACAACGGCTGGGGATGAGAGATCTAAAGGGCGTGGAGATGTGCAGACCCTCGAGCAGTGTATGGGCCATTTTTCTCTCCTGGTGTTACAAAACATAACATTGACTCTGATTTTATAGATGAAAAGGAGAGGGATAGGTTTCAGGATCTCCACGGCGCAATTGCGGTATCTATGAACCCCCCCCTACCCTTTCTTCCCTGCCTTCGTTTGAAGAAGTCGCTCTTCTGAACATATATCACTCCTAGGGCTGCGACGATGTCCTTAAATCAGTGGAATCATACCTGTCCAGATTCCAGACAGAACTAGGAGTCGTCTCCGCAGAAATCGAATCACTGCAGTCTCGATCCGTCCAGCTAAATTCACAACTGGAAAACAGACTCAACCTCGAACGGCTTCTAGGCCCTGCCGTTGAAGAGGTCAGCATATCGCCAAAGGCAGTGCGTCTGATATCAGAGGGCCCCATCAACCAAGAATGGGTCAAAGCCCTGAACGAAGTCGAGACGAGATCGGCCTCTATCGAAGCCAACACCTCCACCCTTACTAATGTAAAGGCAGTCGAGGATCTAAAGCCGTTACTATCCGATTTGAAAGCGAAGGTGAGACCCTCCATTTCTAAACATCCAATGTTGCACCCCCAAATAACTTACGTGATATATATCCAAGGCCATCGAAAGAGTCAGAGATTATCTCGTCGCGCAGATCAAGGCTATTCGATCGCCCAATATGAACGCCCAAGTCATTCAACAGAAATCCCTCATAAAATACAAGGATTTATATGCCTTCCTCTCGAGACACCATCCAACCCTTGCAGAGGAGATCGTCCAGGCTTACATCAACACCATGAAATGGTATTACCTGTCCAACTTCACCCGCTACATCCAGGCCCTGGAGAAGCTCAAGCTGCACGCTGCTGACCGCAATGATCTGCTGGGTGGTGACCCAAACGCTCAAAAACGCGGTATGTCTATCTCTCTCCCCTTCCCCCCTTTAAAAGCATAAGGTCCTGATGTATATAAATAATACTTACTATTCCCCCCCCCAACAACAGCAAACGCATACCACAGCACCCGCAACCCAACCTACGACCCCTTCTCCCTAGGTCGGCGCCTCGACATCCTAAAATCCGCCAACCCCACCGCCCTCCCCTCCTACCTAGCCGAAGACCCGCAGCCGCCCACCAAACAAACAATCCACGGCACCGAAGTCCCCTTCCGCAACTTCAACCTAGCCCTCATAGACAACATCTCTGCCGAATACAGCTTCGTCACTGAGATGTTCGCCCCCGCCCTCCCGCACTCACACTCACAAGCAAGTGCAAGCACACAAACCGCCAGACTCCACCAAATCTTCAACCCGGTCTTCACACTCGGCCAAACCCAGACAAAGACCCTCCTAGACCGCTCGACAGACTGCCTAGGCATCCTTCTCTGCGTCCGCCTGAACCAGCACTTCGCCTTTGAGCTCCAACGCCGCAAAGTTCCTGTCGCAGACGGCTACATAAATCAAATAAACATGCTGCTCTGGCCCCGCTTCCAGATGGTCATGGACATGCACACCGAGTCTCTCAAGCGGTTTGCAGCGGGCATAAACACCATCACCGGTGCTGCAGCTTCTGGTGCCAACAACATCGCCGCCCTCGCGCTAACCAGCGGAGGCGATAGACAGTCTTCGTCCTCCTCGTCAGCGCCGCACCCGCTGACACAACGCTTCGGGCAATTCCTGCAAGGCATTTTGGCGCTTAGTAGTGAGGCGGGGGACGACGAGCCTGTGTCGAACAGCCTGGCGAGGCTGCGGGGGGAGTTTGATGTGTTGTTGGGGAAGTTTGGGAGGGCGGGGAATGGAGGGGATGCGAGGGGGAGGGAGAGGTTTTTGTGCAGTAATTATTCGCTTGTTATGACTATTATTAACGTATGTGTGACTGCTGCCCTGCCTTTGTTGGGAGATATGATGGTTGGTTAACATGTTTGGTGGTGTTTATAGGATACTCATGGGAAGCTGGCGAGTGAGCAGAAGGAGGTGAGTTTTGAATTTCTTTTTTCTTTTTTTTTTATATATATGGTTGCCCTTTCATTTCCTTACTGTGATATGTGACTATGGGGGCCTTCTATCTACTGACATTCTGGATTTGACAGTATTATAATAATCTGATTAGGAGTTTGGCTGGGAGGCGATGACGGGGTTTTCATTTTCTTTTTGAATTTCGTAATATCGGTCCGGGCGTGTGACTTCATTGACGTCTTCATATGTTCCTTTTCCGACACACAGATAGCATCAAATTTCCCCCCCTCATTGTGAGCGTGGTCATTTTGCATCGTGGTATTTAGCTCTATACCGGAGTCCACTTCTATCGTTACATTATGAGTGCGACCTGTCTGCTGGAGTTTCGATATTTGTTATCATCATCATCATCATCATCATCTTCATCATCGTTATTGTTGAACAGGTGGTTCCAGGCAGCTTCTACGCGATTTAAACGCTGCGGAGGGTGGGAGGAGGTAAATGCATACATTGAGATTATGGAAGTTCTCTACAAGGATGAACTGAATTCTACATATTCTCAGAAGATGGTCGCTTTTTGAGCTTGATGGTTTGGTAGACTATAGAGGCTAATGGTACGCCCCTGTGAGCTGAATCATATACAGCTGAGTTGGATGCCGATCCGAAAGAATCGGCTCAGATTCATGCAGGTACAGTAGGAGGCAATGAAATTTGATATCCCTTGACAAGGCTAAACCAAACATGGGAAGATACTTGCTGGATATAGTAACAATATTTCCAAAATCAGCTTAGCCTCATCAAGAAGGTCCCAACATATTGTCCACTTGTTGTCAATGCCGAACCCCGAATTCTCGGGCCGTGGACGGCAACCAACCGCGATACAAGCAGTCTCCGTTGTGAGAATAACAAATACTACGGCTAAATCCCTCTCCAATTGTATAGATATTATACGGGCTATCCATATTTATGTTGTATTTTCTTAATGTTTTCCCGTACGACCTTCTGCAGACTCACAAAACCAATCAGAAGTAGAAATCGATACCCGACAAGACCATTCTCAACCACATCACCAGCCAACGCCGATTTTACACATGCGGTAAATATATAAAAACTCCCTTTCCATCTCCCCAAAGCATCATACATACCATAGAATCCAAAAAAAAAAAAAAAAAAAAAAAAAAAAAAAAAACCCAAAAACAGCCCATTCCCTAACACCCCAAACCAACCCCCAGATAATCGGCGGCGGCATAGTCGGCCTCTCCATCGCCCGCCACCTCGCCGCCGCCCGCCCAAACACAACCACAGTCCTCCTAGAACGCCACGCCCACCTCGGCACAGAAACAACAAGTCGCAACTCCGAAGTGATCCACGCAGGCCTCTACTACCCGCGCGCCTCTCTAAAAACCACCCTCTGCATCCGCGGCAAGCACCTCCTCTACTCCCTCTGCGCGTCCCGCAACATCCCCCACTCCAACACGTCCAAATGGATCCTGGCACAGGACGACGAGCAGATGGATACCCTGCAGCAGCTGTATGAGCACTCAAGGCAGATTCGGGTGCCGACGCGGTTTGTGGGGAGTGCGGAGGCGAGGAGGGCGGAGCCGGATGTAAGAGCGCGGGCGGGGGTGCTGGAGAGTGCCAGCACGGGGATTGTGGATAGTCATGCGCTCATGGGGTGTTTGCGGGGGGAGTTTGAGGAGATGGGGGGCGATGTGGCGCTTTTGACTGCGGTGGAGGGGGTGGAGAAGTTGCCTGCTGGCGGTGGGTATGTGATATACACCAGATCCGGTGGTGGTGGGGGGAAAAGGGAAGGCGGGGAGGAATGGGCGGTTACGGCGGAGACTCTCATTAACGCCGCGGGACATTCCTCCTGCGCTATTTCTAATATGCTCCTGCCGCGGCACAGACATGTGACACCCGCCTATGCGAAGGGCACGTATTTCTCCTACGCGGCGTCCAGTCCCAAGCCGCGCAGGCTGCTGTATCCGGCTCCCAAGGCTGGGCTGGGGGGGTTGGGGACGCATCTTACGCTGGATATGGCGGGGCAAGTGCGCTTTGGGCCGGATGTGGAGTGGGTTGATGGGCCTGAGGATCTGGTGCCGAATATGGGGAGGTTGGAGGAGGCCGTGAGGGAGATTCGGGAGTATTTGCCCGGGATTAAGGCGGAGATGATTCGGTTGGATTATTGTGGGGTTAGGCCGAAGTTGGCGGTCGGGGAGGGGGAGGAGAGGGGGGCGTTTAGGGATTTTGTTATTAGGGAGGAGGAGGGGTTCGAGGGGTTTGTGAATTTGTTGGGGATTGAGAGTCCCGGGTTGACGAGTGCGTTGGCGATTGGGGAGAGGGTTGAGGAGTTGTTGTATGGGTAGGTAGGTGGGGGGAGAGGGATTGATTAGAAGGATTGGGGTTACTTTGTTGGTCTTTGGGGATGTGTGTGTAGATATATCAATGATAGATAGGATGAAGATACCCTATTTGAATTATGCGTAAAGACGCCACATGCAGTGACTGGCTATTCTTCTCACATCACAACTCGTTTAATTCACAAATACAGAGTGATCGTATCAAACACTCATAGCTAGTGGCTATATCTATACCCCGAAACATATCAATGACGTAACAGCAGCGTATATATATGCCTCGCCTAATCCTCGAAGACAGAGCGGCATATGAACCCCCAGTAAAGAAACCTACCTTCCTACCTTCCTACAGGCGCATCGTCACATCAGACGAGGTGGAGGATGTGTACATAGTGCGAACCAGCTCCGTAACTGCAAAAAATACCCATGTCAGACGCACTCAGGACATTACACAGCCATAGGAGAGAGGCCACAACACGAACCAGCCTTCAAATCAGGATGTGCGGGATCCCGCAGCGCGCGAATAGCAATATCCTCTTCCTCACCGGACTTGACGTTATACTAGAAGCTCAAAATCAGCCGTCAATCATCTATCTCTTAAACACAGGTCACAGAGACAACCAAAGGAAAAAAGAAGAAAGGGGAGGATATAGAAAACACATCATACATCTGCCAATCCACTCGCCAAACCCAGTCTCCCAACCAACCCCTCAACCGCCTCGGCCACCAATAGCGCATCCCCACCCACCCTCCCTGTCCCCTTCAACCCAGGAATAAACGCCACAGCCCTCGCAATCTGCTTCGCCTCCTCTCCCTCCTCCGCCCTCTCCGCCAAAAACCTCACCACCTTGCCCAAACTGATACACGACGTAATCCCATGCGGAATCCCATAGCTCGCCCCAATAGCATGGCCAATGGCATGACTAAGGCCCAGGGCACCGGAGAACAGGAAGGGGAAGAACGCCGCGTAGCCTGCGAGAAAGAGGCGTTGGCGTACGTCTGCGTCTTGGGGGTTGGCGTGGCATTTGGGGAGGAGGGTGAAGAGGTCTGTTAGGGAGGAGAGGGCGAGGTGTTTTGTGGGGACTTCGGGGGCGGAGGGTACGTAGAGGAGTTCCAGGGCGTGGTCGAGGGCGCGGATCTAGCTACTTTGTTAATATAGATAGATATATTATATGGATGTGATGGGGGAAGGGGGGTGAAACATGCGGCGGAACTCAGCCATAGGCGTAGGGGGGTGTGTAGGGCCAGATCGCCGTCGTAGAGCACAGCTATACATCGTATATGGGTTAGATATATTGTTTCTTCAAAAGCGAGCTTCACAAACCCTCCCCCGCCCCCTTTTATCTTCTTATGAACCCATCCCACCACATATAGAAATACAACATATAAAAAAGGCCGAAAATAACGAACCCTTAGGCACCAACTCTGCATCCGAAACCCTGACCTTCGCCCCCTCCGCATTGGTAAACCCCGCATTCTTCGTCGTCTCCGCCACACTCAATGTCGTCGGCACCGCAATGCTGGGAATCCATTTCCGCCCGCCATTCGCATCGTCATTGTTAATATGCAAATGATACGCGATGGCTTTTGTGGCGTCGATGGGCGATCCGCCTCCGACAGAAACCAGTACGTCCGCGCCGGATTCTCGGACTGCGCTTATGGCGGATTCGATGTCAGCTAATGGGCTGGTTGGGTGAACATTCGGTGAGCGTTGGAATGTATATTTTAACGGTGTAGTATTTTTTTTTTTTTTTTTTTTTTTTTTTTTTTTTTTTGCATGTATAGACAGCAACAGGCGCAGAGAAGGGAGGAGGGGATTATTTTAGATTGCCTCAACCCCACCGCCTCCTTTGTTTACAAACTTAAGGCATGAAAACGCACGCATGCTGCCGCACTCCGCTATAAGTGCCTGCATGATGTTCAACGCCTAGTATCTCCTCTATCTGCTTGATCACCGGCGTCTTTTCCCGCAGAGACCTGCCAGTGATAATATACGCCTTTGAAGCGCCCAGTTTCGCGATGACGTCAGGGAGGGAGGTGATGCATCCTGTCCTTTAGTCGTTAGTTACGGCATGAAATTTGATATTGATAACAATATAGGGAGTAAAAAGCGAGGAATTGGAGGGGGAAAGATGTAACAAGATAACTGTTATGATGGAGTGCGAATCGTGTCCTATTTGTTTACCTCGGCCATAGAGCATATACTTAATTGGGGAGGCCGAATATGCGCCGCGAAGACTGCTGTCTATGCTATGCCCCTGGATGATGGGTGAGGATGACGAGGATGCCATGGTCGATGATAACTGCACGGTTGTTTGGGATGAATGCTATGGTTGTTGGCGTGGGTGGGTGCTGGCGAGTGAGGGCGTTTGCAGATTGATTCCCCTTCTGCCTCGGGTATTTGTGTCGGTCTGGTCAACCTAAATAGACCGATTTACAACGTCAAATGCGATGCGAATGCTCAACACTCTTTCATCTGGAAATATACGAGATCACGGGAGAACATCTATCTGCTAAATAGGCAGTCAATCGTTCGTCCGTTCCTGTTCCTCTGTGAACAACCGCAAAATACGAAGGATTATCACTTCCCCCTTCAAGTGGATGATTCTTAGAAAAAGAGACAATCTAGTATATCAACTGTCAAATAAAACGTCTCTTACGCACCACCGACATGCCTCATTCTACTCCACATACCTGCCTTCTGTCTCTCCTCTGCAGAATCTTCCTACAGCCCTCACCACACAAAAGCAGCCGAAATAAAGCAAAAGGAAGGGAAGGGAAATATAAAGAACGCCCATAAAGACAGCAAAACGCAAGCAAACAACACTCACAAAACAGTATCCTCCATTACCTGCTCGTTTGAAGAGAATTGAAGATATATATACGTAAATAACACAATTTTGGTTTCCTCTATTTCTTTCTTTCTTTCTTTCTGTCTGTCTGTCTGTCTGTCTGTCTGTCTGTCTGTCTTCTACTTCATCACCATCGCCCATTGTATACTGCTAGCAGATACAATTGGTGGGCATTCCACTAAGAACACGAAGAGACGAAAGACGAAAAAGGAGGAACAGGATATAGCACGGACAGGACTGGCCAATCGGGATCCGGAGACTGGGACCGGATGAGAGAAGCTGAGGAAACCCGTTCAACGGTTAGGATAGATAGGATAGGAACTGGAACTGGAACTCGGACTCGAACTGGAACAGGAGCTGGCAAAGGAGAAAAGAAGCAGAAAACTTTTCGCGGAACCTCGGGATATCAGGTACAGTACGTACATACGCAGGCAGTTAGCAGGATACTAGGAAACAGGCAACAGGCAGATTAAAAACCACCAGCAGCAGCAAACGCGCAAAGAGAAGGGGAAAGAAAAGGAGAAAAGGAGGGAAAGAGATCCCCAATAGAAGAAGAATGAAGAAAGAGAAGAAGTAAAATAAAATAAAATAATAATTCATAAATCACGTTAACGAAACGAAACTCGAACTCCAAACAAACACGTCAAGGAGGAATAGAAAAGATGAAGGCGTGTGCGTGCGTGTGCGCGCGCGTGCGGGATGAGCAAGGAAGAAGAAATAAAACAGGGAGCAAGCCTGAGGAAGAAAAAGGGGAACGGACGGGGACGGCGGCCTAATCTCAGCTTGCTAGTAAAGACATAAAATAACCCTCGCTTGCTTTTCTGCTTTTTTAAAAAAGAGAAAAGGAGAAACCATATCATATCATACCATCCATACCTTCCATAGCATACCATCCATATCCATTTCCGTTCTAACAAACATAAGCATAGGCATTGGGCATTGCTCATTTCGTAAGAAAGCAGAGAGGAGAAAAACAAAAGCAAAAAGAATTCCCAAACCCCATAAACCTCAGAATCAAGACTTCATCTCCTCACTCTTCCCGTCCTTCCCACCAGAAGCCGCACCGGCAACAGCACCAGCACCACCCGTCGCCTCCTTAGGCTTCGCCGCATCACTACCACTACCGGCAGGAGCAGCAGCACCCTCACCACCCCCCTCGCCACCCTTATTCTTCATATACTCATCATAAACATTAATAGCCTCATCGACCTTAGCCCGTAGCGCAGCGTCGTCATCAACCCTATCAGGTTTCAGTCAGCATTTAAATATCCCATAACAAACCACAACGCAGCAGGAACCCAGGAACGTGTAGGAAAACTCACAAACTGAGCAACTCCGCATTATCCATCTCAAGCAACATCCCCGTAATCTTCCCCGCCAACTCTGGCTGCTGCACCTGAATCTTGGGATAAATAGCCTCCCCAAGCATCTGCTTTTGCTGCGCCGGAGGCGCCGCACTAAACGCCTGAAGATTCAGTCCGCTGGGTCCCACACCAACACCCACGACACCGGCACCGTCATCGCGCGGTGGCATCCCTGGCACAGGCCCACCAACACCACCAGCTCCTCCACGCCCCGCTTGTCCTGGTCGTCCACCCATCCCACCGGCTCCTTGAGGCGGCATGCCACCACGACCTTGCGTGAACCCTGGACCACCAGCCCCGCGCATGCCAGGAACATTGCCCATGTTAGGTGGCATACCTTGCATACCCGGGACATGTCCGCGGCCACCACCACCCCGTCCGAACGAAGCTTGAACCTGAGCAATAGCTTGTGGGTAGGTGAGACCATTGGGAATACCGCCTGGACCCTGGAGTGCACCGATGGGGAGTCCCTGGGCACCCATGCCAAATGCATTTGGTGGGAGTTGTTGGTTGGGGCCAGCAAGACCGCGTCCGCCTTGTTGTGGGAAGCCGCCGGGATATTGTCCGGGGCGACCGCCTGGCATTCCGGGGAGGACCATGCCGGGTTGCTGGGCAAAAGCCATGCCACCGCGTTGTGCGTTTGCAGGGATAAATCCCTGCTGGCCAGGTGGGTAATAGACGGCAGGCTGCATGAACTGCTTTTATTTAAGACTATTAGAACTCATGTCGAAACTCCGTAGCGTTTTTGGGGGGAAATGGAAATTTACCGGTTGGGACATTCCAGCGGCAGCAGCAACTTGCTGTTGTCGGATGGTATTACGAGCTTGAATGCTTGCCTCAAGCTGCAGACATCAACGGTCAGTGAGACGAAGAGGAAGAGAGCAATCAAAACTCCACAACAATAAATGTACGTACCTGGCTCTTGCGAACGTCCTTTCGTTGAGCAAGGGCAACATATAGAGGTTTGCCATTAACCATGCGCTGGTTCATCTCTGTGACAGCCTTGGAAGCTTCATCTGGATTGCTGAAGCAGACAAACCCAAATCCCTTGCTCTTCCCAAGTTTCTTATCAGTAGGTTTCTTGGTATCTGGCTTTTCAGCCTTATCCGTCTTCTCAGCAGAATCTTCCCCACCAGCCTCCTTCTTAGTCTCCTCCTTCACGTTCTCTTTGTTATCCTTTGAGGCCTCCTTCTCTTTCTCAGATTCGGAACCAGCGTCGCCAATAGTGTCACGCATGACTCGGGCAGAGGTAATGTTTCCAAACCCGATGAAAAGGTCTCGGAGTTTCTCATCATCGATGTCGTCAGTCAAATTCTTGACGTAGAGGTTGACACCCTGGTACTTAGATGCCTTCTCGACACGAGCAGCCTCATGCTGCTTGCGCAATTCCTCTTCCCGCTCGTGTTTCTTCTGTGCTCGTCCAACATAGAGTTTTTGGCCCTTGTATTCCTTATCATTTAGGTCTTCAACGGCAGCAGCAGCACTATCATGGTTAACGAAGTTGACAAAACCGAACCCTCTGCTCTTTCCGGTCTCGTTATCTCGGCTGAGCGATGCGGATGTGATTTCACCGTATTTCTCAAACAACTCTCGGAATTCTTCATTGGTGACCTCAGGCTCCAAGTTCTTCACGTAGACGTTGGTGAAGTTGGCTTTCATCTCCTCGAATTTGCTCTGGCGGTCCTTCTTGGCGATGTGGTGGCCAACAAATACCTTCTTCTCGTTCAACAACATGCCGTTGACATGTTTGATGGCATTGGTGGCGGCTTCAGCCGTTTCGTAATGAACAAAGCCGTAGCCCTTTGAGTTACCAAACTCGTCCTGAGCGACCTTGCAGCTGAGAATGTTGCCAAAAGCGGCGAAAGTGTCGTGGAGAGCCTTGTTATCGATGGCAGTATCCAAGTTCTTGATAAAGACATTGCCCTGGCCGGTTTTGCGCAGGGCAGGGTCACGCTGGGACCACATGATCCGGCATGGTTTGCCCTTGATAAGAGTGTAGTTGAGATCTTCGAGAGCACGTTCGCCATCAGCGGTGTTGTTGTAGTTGACGTAGGCATAGCCGAGAGAGCGTCTGGTGACCGCGTCACGGCAGACACGGATGGAGGCGACCTGGCCGATGGAAGAAAAGAGCTCGAAAAGCATAGCTTCAGTGACGGAGGGGTCTAGTTCACCGACGTAGAGGGATGCAGAGTGTGGTTGGGCGTTGGTAGGGGCAGCGGAGTTGGGGGTCTCGTTGCCATCAGCAGCACCGTCTGTCACAACGTTTGTGTTGATGGTGGTACCATTTGTGGAGGACTCCACGAGATTAGTTTCTGGGACAACGGTGGATACTTCAGCAGTAGACATTTTGGCGGTCGAGTGGTTTGTTTTCTTTCGATATCTAGCGGACGGAAAGAGCAGAATAAGCGGGGTGAAACAGTCCAAAGAACGCAGCACAACAGTGACAAGGGTTAATATTTCTTTGCAGGAGTCAAGGGATGGGAATGTGTTGTCTCGCTTTGTGGTATTTTGCGGGGCTTAAAAGGCAGGTATGGGGGCAGAAAAGATAACGGAAAGATGAGAAGAGCAGACGTGCACTGATAGAACCGAGAGGAAAGTCAAACGAGTGAAGACAGAGGATCTCGAGTACCTGGGGATATCAACAACAACGAGATCTGTCAAATGGGCATAGCAGGTTCAGTCAGTACAGATTCTATTATGGAGGAGTGGCGAGGGTAGATTCTGTGTGGGACTGGTGCTGGTGAAACAGCTGTTGATGATGCAATGAAGAGGAAGAAGATGAAAGAGAAGCCAGACACAATAGACCAGGCAATAACTACAGGAAAAAGCGAAGAAAGGGCACAGTCAAGTCACTTACCGGGCAGATCTCGTGCAAGGTTTTTTGAAGGGATTTTCAACTTTTTTTTTTTTTTTTTTTTTTTTTTTTTGGTTTTTCCGGCACGATACGAGGACTTTGGGGCAAGAAGAGTAGATTGAGGGAGAAGGTGAGAAGGAAGAGAGAGGGAACACTGGATGAAGACACAGCGTTGACCAGAGAGAATTGAGATTGGGATGGGATGTGGTTGTGTAGAAAGAAAGAGAAGAAGACAAGACAAAAAAGTTAAGAGATGAGGTTGAAGGTTGATTTCAGTGGTTTGGGGTTTGTGGTTTGTGCTGTGGAAAAAAAAAAAAAAGGTGAAAAAAAGAGACAGCCAACACAGCGATTCCTTTTTTTTTCTTTCTTTTTTCCCCCCTTTTTTTCCCCCCTTTTTCTATTTTTTTTTTTTTTTTTACAACTTTTTTTTTTTATTTATCTTTTCTGACTTGTTCCGTTTTGGATGGTCGTTTTGTGACTGGTGAATAGGAAAAAAAAAAATATCAGAGGAAGAAAAAGTGAAATGAGAACTTGGCTTTGTCCAACAGGAGACGGAGCTAGTCTTGATTAGGTAAGCAGCAGCAGCAGCAACGTCGAAACAGTAGACAAGACAACAGCAGACAACAGCAGACAAGAGCAGACAACAACACCCGAATCAACAGAGTAAACATTCACAGCAGGGCGGGCTGGCCAACTGCCCAGCTGGCGGCTGCCAGTGCGGATGGCAGCTTTGTCAACCGGCAACTCGCTGGGTACAACAGGGCTGGAACTGCCCCATCCGAGACCCGTATTCGTTTGCTCTCTCAGCTCCGTCTCTGCCTTCCCCTCCCCTTTTTGACGGTTGGAGGCCTGTTTTTCGCCTCCCACAGCAACCCGGTTGCTGGAAACTCCAGAGGGTCGAACCAAGGGTTGAACCAAAGGTGGAATAAAACCTCCCAACGGCTCAAGCTGCTGGTGGGAGGCGGCACTGGTTTTATTGAAAGAGTCGTTGGTCAATTGACTAAGAACTTGAACCTGAAATAGAGACAATCTATGCTCGACAACCTCTCGATTGCAAAAGTTCTTCTTCTGGTTTTAGATAGTTAGTTAACTTTACTGCTCTTCTTATGCAGCAGCTTAGTCAAGCTCACTCATACAGCTTCTCAACATCATCATTTTAATGTGGTGTCGCACTGCAGAGACATCATTACGGCGCGCACTTGTGAACAAAGATGAAACTTTAAATACATGCGCAGCTTCAGCTTCATGAATCGAGGCTGTTTCTTGATTTCAAAAGACTGAAATTGCAAGTTCAATTCTTTCCTCTATCTCGATAGAGTTTTCCTGCATTTTCATTGTGAATAGGTGGCATCTTCACATGTTTGAGCGAGTGGAGTAGGACGTTGGAGATAACTGATTACACTGCGAAGGTTTGCTCACTGAGGGTGGTTCGCTGTGTGGGGAATTACGTTATACTTACTTACTGCTAACTATCTTACCAATCTATCGAATATAACTATTGATCCTCAAGTGTGCGGTGAGGAGGACATGGGGCAGAGGGAAAGCAACCAAACGCTGTCCGCTCGCATACGCAGGATGCAGTATGTCAATCCATGCCCTGCTGCATGATACAGTCATGGCAGATAGTGCTTGCTTTCTAGAAGGACGAAGCACCTCCACAGCGACGACGATAACGACTGACTAGTTATCTCGGCAGATGCAGATACCTTATTAGGGACATCGAACATCTGGCTTCGTGCATTCGTGCATACATTCAGGATCCACCGCAAACTTATATGTTTGTTTATAACCCTCTTGAAAAAAAGAAGAAAAAAGAAAGGTCATAGCAAAACCCCTCAGATGAGATGTCTGATGGTGAAGATATTCAAGATAGAAGAGGAAGAGAAATGAATTTGAGCGGCCAAGGAAGAAGCTTTTATGTAGATTTAGTAATATGGACGCCTTGATCCCATTGTGCCCGCATTGCAGTCCCTTTTTTAAGCAAAGAGAAAACACTGAAAAGGTGGAGAATGAAAATTAGAAAGCTTTCTAAGCCACGAAGGATTTCAAAGGAAATAAGTGAAGGGGAAAAAAGCCATCTCCATCCATCATGAGGAAAAATAACACAGTTTGAACTTATCTTCGGGGGATCACAATTGATTCACTTGGCAAATATATATATATATATAATAATGATGATAATAATAATAATAATAAAATAAAATAGAAAATAATCATCCCCTCAACTCAAATCAAACCCAGCCCCTGAATTAATCGCATACATAAGTTTCTGCCTCAATGTCTCCCGCCTCGAATACCTCGGCAACTTCAGCAGATTCGCACAGGTGCTCGTACTAGGCAACCTCTCCTCATCCGCGCTCGAATCCCGAATACTAAACCGCGGGTTCAAATGGCTGAACCCCAACAGTGGCGCCCGCGGCGTCGACGTCACAAACTTAAGCACCTTCCGCCTCTCCTCGTTCGTCATCTCCTCCATCACCTCCCAGAACAGCTTGATGGTCGGGTGCTCATGCCCATCGTCACCTACGATGTACACGCCGCTGTAGACGGTGTTGCGACGGAGGTCGGAGACGTCGATCTCGCCCGCTTCGCCGCCTACTAGCGTCTGCAGTTCGGACTGGTTGAACATTGACAGCCAGGATGGTTGGATGATTGTCCCGAGCCCCTGGAGGAAGGCGTTTGTTTGGAGGTACGGTTGGGCTTGGAGGCGGTGGCGGGCGATGTAAGAGATGTAGACGAGGCGGTTTTGGTTTGTGACGGGGATGTCGGAGCCGTGGGGTTTTAGCTCTTTGGTTGTGCTTTGGGTTGTTGTGTAGGGTTTGCCGGTAGGTGTTGTGAGGGGGACGGTTACGGTATCGGTTACGGTGAAATTTAGGGAGAAGTCTTCGACGTCACCGGGGTAGTTTTTTAGTTGAAGCTGGGTGCGGGGGATGGGGTGGTTAGTTAAGCGGCCATGACATGTGACTGGAAAAGGGGGTTCAGGGGAAGGTAGTTGGTGGGCGGTTTAAAAGGATAACTTACCAATCCCTGGTACAGGCTCTCATCGAGATCTCGTACATCATTGAGATTAGCGCGGTACGACGACTCCTTGCGTGCCGAACTCGTACCCCCTGTCAAAGCCCACTTCAACAAAAAGAATCCCGCAAAGCTGACATCAACCAGAATCCCCTCGTAAAGACATTTGCCTATAATCCGACCCAGAAACTCATACCGTTTCAATATATCCTTAATCTCCCTATTCCACTCCACGCTCCTCTCTTTAACACCATGATGCCGAAGCTGCGCCTTTCGCTGCTCGACAATAGTAGGATTCGGATAAAGCAGGTGCTGATCATTTTCAATGAACAGGCTAGAGTCGCCGGATGGATTAAACGCATCACCGATAACGCTGGTTAGGAACTCCTTCGTAACACCGCCCCCGTCTATTCCCGCTTCCTGCGTGCCGAATTTATCAATAAATGAGATCTGTATGGGTTCTTTCAGGCCGTCACCCAGGTCGTAGAATTGTTCGAAAGCATCCTGAAATAGGGACTCTCGATTTATGGTCGCATGGTGTTTACTTAAGACGTCATTCCCCAATCTCCCATCCTCGCCTAGGGAGTGGTGAGCAACAGATAAGCGCCAGGAGTCGGGATCGATATAACCTCGTCGTCTCTGCACCTGATCTCTGTAGATGAACTCGCGGAATATCTGAACGCGGGTAGCGAACGGTATGAAAAACGGTATATTCCGCAAGATCTCCAGGCGGGGTGCAACAGCTTCTAGCTCTTTCCTCCGCGCAACTTGCTGATATCGCTTTCTGAACTCTTCGATACGGCGAAGCTGTTGAGCTCGCCCAGTGCCTATAAGTGTTCGAGATTGATCTAATCCATCATCCGTTGTCTCATCCTGGGCCTCGTCGCTTTGTTCATCATCCTCGTCTTCTTCTTGGAGTTGGTGTCTGTTTTCCTCCTCGGCAACGACCGTGGGAATGAACCCTTCCATATCAAAGCGATCAACCATCAGAAAGAGGCCATCAGGCAAGAACTTACGCCTCGAGCTAATATGATCATATTAGTTATCTCCAGATTTTATTATTCACGAGGCGAAAGTAGAAAAATATCACTTACTCCCTCTCATGCACCATGCGTAGCAAACCCGTCACCAGCCCCTTGAAATAATCCAAAGGAATTCCAGTAGCCCCAACAAGAATGCTGCAGGCATTGGATTTCAGAGTCGAAGAAGCTGGCTCCGGAGATGTACCACCGGTTACAAAATAATTGCGAATGCCACCTGGATCATTAGTTTCTGCTTCTGAAGCTGTTAAATCTGCCGCATTCCAATAGAGCGTAAATGCCAAATTCTTCAAGAAAATGGTTAACTCTTTCACATCCGCGAGGGGGAGAGCGCTCTCTTGTGTCCACGAGTCATTGGGATTTTCTGTAGTTCTCCCCAGAGAAGGTGTGACAGAAAAGAATTCATCGTCATCCAATACTTTAAGGAGAAATGTATAAAGCTCAAGAAACAACAGAATAATTGTCCATTCTTGGTCACGATCGTTGCTTTGTCGGACTGCTCGATTTCCTTCTTGAGAACTACGGGCTGAAGCTGGTTGAAGCATTGCCAGGACATCACGCGAGTTTTGCACTATATTCCGAAACACGTTTGTTGACCTAGAGGCATGCCAAAAGTACTTAATGGCAGGGAGTCGACCTGTGGCGGAGTCACCATCTTTTCCTGTTCCCATTGCGGAGCCTAAGTAGAGCCACATGCGTATTTCATCACCCCTCTTAGCGAAAACTCTTAGAAGTGTTAATGCATAAGCCGCTAATGCCTTTGCATCCTCTGATGCCTGGTGCTGCGATTGTTGAGAAGCTCCGGAGATTGGGGATTTACTTGATTCGGCCTGTGTTAGAAGATGTGTGATGCTATGCTGATCGACAAGGGTGAGAAGTTGACACCGAATGAAAGGAGGAAGAGGTGTTAGCCCAGATTGAGTCAGCTCTTCAATCCCAAGCCCGCGGGAAACATCACCAGCAACAGGGCTGAGTAGACCCGTGACGACTTTCACAAATAAGGTCTCTGGAGATTGCTTGACTACGCCACCACCCATCGCATGTTGGTGGAAGAAGATAAAATAGGAGAGCAGCCAAAGCCGTTTGTCCACATCTTTCAGTTGGAGAAAAGAATCCGTGGACAGTAGGATGTGTGAATCTATTGCGGAGGCCAGAAGTTTGTAGTTCACCCCAGTAGCTAGGTCATCAATCTTTCCGAGATGGTGGTCAAGAGACGGGACTGTTAGGTAGTTTCGGCCAAACCATTCGTAAGCATCGAGGGTTTCCGATGTAATGGGTTGAAGAAGAGCGAGCACACTCTTCACCACCATATCTCTAAGCTGACTGAAATCCAGCGCGGATGTCCGAAGGTTTAGAGTTATCGAAGCTAACACGGCATAATACTGTTCAGCCAGACGGGTGATTTGTTTCGGTATCAAAACAGACAGAAAAATAACGAGCCGAAGAAGATCATTAACCAACGACACAGGCGCAACGGACGTGGGCGCCACAGCAAGAAACTTCAGAACAACCCCTCCAAACCGCTCAAGTGTGAGTGTCCACTCCCCATCAGGCTGGAGAACAGGAGCTTCCTCCAAAGTCATCTGGAAACACTTCCCAAAATATGACAGCCGCGCCCAATCATCCCGATCCTTAACCCAGACAAAACGCAGCAGCTTCCTCAGCTGGGACAAGCAGTCCGTAGGGTTCGTGTATGGCCGCGGCGTAGTCACCCAGGAGTCCAACGATTCCACGTCTGAACCAGCGGAGAAGACATCCAACCCTCTTTTCCTCTCCACATCATCCCACTCCTGTCTCCACGTCTCTTTCGTTACCATCCGGGTTTTGTGTCCCCTCCACGTGCGCTGCAAGGTGCGGCTAGCATTCAACCGCTCCCGGTCCAACTGTCGCTGAAGCCGTTCCTGTTGCGCGAGGGCAAGGGTTGATTGCGGTCCTGGACCAGCTGGAGTATGACGTCCCGGTGGGTGTGCGGCGAAGGGATTTGTTGATCTGTTTGAGAGGTTGACCTGTCGCGGTCTGCGAGAGCTTCCCGTAAATGACTGGAACATGGTTGCTGTCACGGATGTTGGGTGAGGGAAGGGTGCCTGGTGGGCAAGGTGAGATACAGTTAGTTATCAACGCTGAGTGGTGGTGAAGGGACGGCGGGAGGTTGCAGCAAACGTGTCCATGCTTCAGGTGGCCGGACTCTAGCTGGATGCGGCCATAGAGGGACAGAAGACGGGAATATCCGCAGGGATGCTATGTCAATGGTGTTTGAAGCTTCTCGAGTATTGGAGATTGAATTTTTAGGTCTTCTCCAGATTGGGGACCAGGAACATGGATTACAAACAACGGCGTCATTGAGGGAACATCGCGAACATTACACCCGGGCACCATTGCTTCTAAGATCTTTTCATCAAACAAATACAACGCGCGCTCTAATAAATATATAAACGAGACGATAGAAAAATAGACCAGACATATTAGTAGCAATATTTATTGTAGGAATGATTCCAAATTAGAAGTCAGATTAAATATGCACAGTCTAGGTTTCTAACTCCGAACTAGCAACTATACTCCACCTCCCAACCTCAGATGGGACAATTCTCAACGAACGGGCGGGCTGACGATCCTCTACGTGGAAGTATTGAGATGTATTCTCCTACCCTAGTCAAGTATCTTTCAATAGAAACCCTGTCCCGTCCGCAAAGTGCGTTCATTCGCCGCAGCTCTTTTGCTGGCTCCGGATTGACGCTCTTTCATGTGGTCTCTTCGATTCATGAAAAATGGAGTCTGAGGATTAGAGGAAAGATTCAAGCTGACTGCAGTGCTTGTTCATTTTCAAGAGTCTACCATCCCATGTATTGCATGACACTCGCGGTAAATAACCAGGGACAAGTCAGGACGCGTCGAAGGGAACCGTGTATATAACCGACGAGGAAGACCGGAGGAGAAGCCTCGATGAAGCAGCGTATCCTGCCATTTTGCAAGTAGGCGGGATTTTTTTTTTTTTTTTTTTTTTTTTTTAATTGTCGAAAAATCCCGTTTGTCCAGAGAAATATGATCAAATCGCAGCTGGAAAACGCCGCAGAAGGACGCACTGTAGCGACTACAGGGCTTTGACGAACAGATGTTCCTAGAAACACAAAATGGTGACAGCAAGACGCAAAGAGGAGTCTAAAGTTCAAAAGCATCCTGCACCTCAATTCAGGCACCGCAGTGCAGGAAGATCGTATGAAGATCTGGAAATCTCCAGGAATGATGAATGAGTGGCGTGTTGGGTAATTCGATGTTTGACTCGAGGAAGTTGAGGTTGGCTGGAGCCACTCGCCGTGAGGATTAACTAATTCGCTGGTATCACGTTTAAATATAGCTGTTCCAACTTGCATCAATTGCGGTATCTGAGGTTGAGACTGCAATTTTGAGGATTTTAGACTCATGGGCAGTCTTCCCAGGCTTGAATGCATGTTTTCTTTTTAACTGAAAGTGTTTCTGGGATCAATTGCGTCCACACTACAATTATTAGTTAAATATGATATTATTTCTGGTCCGTTAAGCCTTTTGAATTAACTCAGGCATTCCATGTCATAGCAAAAATACAGCAAAAAATTGCAATATTTGACAGATTCTTGAACATAAAACTATATATCCTTTTTCGCCTGGAACCTCTAATCACAAAACCAACAGAATACGTAGTGTATATTGTACATAAGAAAAAAGGAAAAATGAGAACTTATTCTCCCAAAAAATAAACATGGAGAAACGCAGTTTGGCGATACTCCCCCATATCGTAAGACACCGGCACCGTAGATGCCTCTGAGTAGATCTCCGGGGGCCAACGAAACTCACCCGGTATCGAAAAATAAAATGTTAACGAAAAAGCTGGACCAGCAAGAAAATCAGGGCACTTGATTTCTTGGACTCTTATTGCTACTGTTGTCCGCCGCCGTTGACTCCGTGTCCTTTTCTGAAGTGATTTCAGCTGCTTCTGTCTCTACAGCTGCACCGTCCTCTTCGACAACCTCTCCCTTCCGGTACCGTTCCAGTTGATCAGACTCTAAAACGTTATTCGCATACCAATCGTCGAGGTAGTCCTTTCCATCCATCGCCCGTGGTGCCTCCACCTTCCGCTCACCGATCATTATCGTTTTCGTGTACTGCGTTCTTGTGGGCTCCATTCGTTTCGTAACGAATGGGGTGAGCTGTTATGGGCATTGAGGGTTGTAGGGTCAGTAATCTGGGCGCATAACGCAAAAGAAGAAGAAGGAGAAGAAGAAGAAAAGGAGAAGAGCAGTGAGGAGTGAGGGGAGACGGGAGACGGGAGGTGCCCGCACAAGACATAAAGACATAAAACCGACCTTGAATGTATCCAGTCCCTCTGGAACGACATATGTGCGAACTTTCCGCCAATCGATATAGTAGGTGCCCTTTCTCTTGCCAAAAAATCCAACATTGCCTGTCCGGTTACCCTTGTAATAGCCTCCGTTGACTTGCTTGGTGGTCAACCGCAGCCGCGCATTCAGACATGGTGTGGGTTTAAACATGGTTTCGGAGGAATTGTCGATGAACCATCCAAAGCTACCTAGGTTGAGTGACCAAACGCCAACCTCTTGCCCTCAAAACGTCGTTGTCATGCGGGAAATTGAGGATTTCTTTTGTCCATCGGCTTGGTGGGTGTATATATATGGTTATTCTTGTCTTGTCCTTGGAGATGCTGGACTAGCGCCAATTTGGGTGAACCGAGAAACTTTTTTTTTCTCGGGCGCAGATCGCGGAAATCTTATTTTAAATGTATACGGATAGAATATTTTGATGAAATACAAATAGATTTCACATTGTGAAACAACCCCATATCCTGATGCACTATTTATTTATCTGTGTTCTCTTCCCCTTCCCGTAAAAGGAATTATTTACAACAACTATGGCGGGAAGACAGTCGAACCAACTGCGGTCAAAAGAGCAGCTCCGCCGTCCAAAACGCAAAGGAAAGAAGAAGAAATCTACAAGGGGAGGTCTGGATGCTTTGACTATTGCGGGACAGCAGTATCCCTCGAAGTCGGGAATTCGGAAACAACGCCTGGGCGTAGAAGAAGATGAGGGCTCAAGCCTCAAGAGACGTGGCGGTGCGTCAAGACTTGATGCGGAAGACGACTCCTCCCGGCACCCTTCGAAGCGACGGAGAACGGGCGATAATGATGACGACAGCCAAGATGCAGACTCAAGCGACAATTATGGGAGTGATAGTGAGGGCAATGAGTGGCAGATTGGTCGAGTCGATGAGGACGATGATAGTGACATCGATAGTGACGAAGCGATGGGTGAGAGTGATGAGGAACATTTTGATGGGTTTAGATTTGGTGGGAGTTCCAAACCCAAGCCTAAGTCCAAACCGATACCGAGGAAACGAGGTGGGGAAGATTTTGATTTATCTGAAGGTGATGGGGAATTGGAGGATGATGACGATCTTGGGGAAGAAGCGGTGGATCTTGCTACAGCCTGGGATATGAATGCGGAAGAGTCGGAATTAGACGATAAGGGCAAAGTAAAGAAACTAAAGAGAGATTCTCGCTCTGGGACTGCGGATAAAGGTGATGGCATTGATATTACTGGCAGTGAGCTTGAAGGGGAAGAAGATGACGAGGATGATGATGACGAGGACGAGGACGACGATGACGATGCGAGCGATGCCTCTGGACTATCAATTTCTGATGAGGATGATATAAATGAGCGCGGACTCTCAAAATTACAAAAGTTCGTCAAGGCTATGGAGAGAGAACCAACCCTCGACGGCAAATCGAAAACCAAACAGACTGCTACCACTCAAGGCACCCAACCTACAGAATTTGGCCTCATGCCTACACGGAAACTTACAGTTGCAGATCTAATACCAACCATTTCTGACTCCCGTATGAGAGGGTCGTTAAAACACCTCGATGCCGCTCCTTCAACTAAAAAGAGCAAAACGGGGATAAATGGGAAGCTAGAAGTGCCGCTTGCCAAACGGCAGCAGGATCGTATTGACCGTGCTGCCGCTTACGAAAAGAGCAAGGAGACCCTTAATCGATGGATTGAAACCGTCAAGGCTAATCGAAGAGCTGATCATATTTCTTTCCCGCTACCCGAACCAAACGCCTTACAGAAGTCAACTATTGTTGACACGAAGCCAAGGACGGACCTTGAGAATACTATTCAGAATATCCTCGTGGAGAGCGGCCTAGCGGACGAGCAAGATAAAATGGGAGAAACTCGCATTCAGGAATTTGAAGAATTACAGGCGAAGAAGCTTCCTCTGGAGGAAATACAGGCCCGTCGGGCTGAGCTACGAAAAGCCAGAGAATTGCTTTTCCGTGAGGAGGTTCGAGCTAAGCGGATTAAGAAAATTAAGAGCAAGTCGTACCGTCGTGTTCATCGAAAGGAACGGGAAAAGATGGAACTTCGAGAAAGAGAAGCTCTTCTTGCTGCTGGGGTTGATGTTGACGAGGAGGACCGTGAAAAACTTGACCGACGCAGAGCGGAAGCTCGAATGGGAGCGAAGCACAGGGAAAGCAAATGGGCTAAAAGCCTCAAGCAAACTGGAAGGACGGCCTGGGATGATGAAGCACGGCTCGAAATGGCAGATTTGGCGCGGAGAGAGGAGGAGCTACAGAGCAGAATCCTGGGAAAACGGGTCACTACTGGACAGGAGGAGTATCTACGGTCCTCAAGTGAGGAATCAGAAAGTGAAAGCGACGCGGGCGAGGATGGGTTTGGTTCGGATGCTGAGACGCAACGACTGAAGAAGAAACTCAGTGAGTTGGGTCAAAACAGGAACGACAAGGAAGAAATCACCGGACCACATGCAAGGTTGCTTTCGATTAAATTCATGCGCAATGCGGAAGCTGCAAGGAAGGCTCAGAATGACGCTGAAGTTAAAAAGCTCCGTCGTGAGCTGGATGGCGAGTATTCACAATCTGACACCGAGATGGCTGAAGTGGGCCATCAAAGGTTTGGTCAACAGGCTGCCACCGACAGGTCTGCCGTTACGGCTACCAAAAGGCAAGATTTCGAGGAACCGGATTCCGATACCAACGGCAAGGTTCACGTCGAGGAATCGGATGAAGATGTCGATATCAAGGTTGACAGAAAGCCCGCTCACAAATCTACGGCACGCAACTATCGTTCTTTCGAGACACACTCCGACAAAGCCAACGTGAACACAACAAAAGATGACTTCGAGTCCAACCCGTGGCTCTCACAGCCAAAAAGGAACTCCAGGAAGCAAACCAACTCATTGGACGCTGCAGGTGACATTACGCTGATCACCAACGGCACTGTTGAGAGTGTCACCTCTCCGCTTCCCTCGTCAGAACAATCAATGCGCATCACCGCCTCCAAAAAGAAAACCGCAAACAACTCGCACGGCAATAAAGCTGCTACCACCACCACAACTGCCAACGGCGACAACGATGACGAAAGCGGCGACGACTCTGACGAGGCACGTGTACCCGTACTCCTCAAGAACGCAGATCTTGTCAAGAAGGCATTCGCAGGCGACGAGGTGCTGGCTGATTTCTCCAAGGAGAAACTCGAGACTGTTGAGGAGGAGGGTGACAAGGTCATCGACACTACGCTGCCGGGGTGGGGATCTTGGGCTGGCGCGGGCTTGACGAAACGGGAGAAGAAAGAGGCGAAGGCGAAGCGGTCATTCGTTACGGAGGAGGGCGTTAAGGCCGAGAAGAGGAAGGATGCGAAGTTGGATAGGGTTATTATTAACGAGAAGAGGGTTCGGAAGGTATGTTTTGGAGGTGGATGTTGTCTCTTTGGCATTTTATTTTCCATACATGGTGGCAGCCGGGCAGTTGGTGGCTGTTCTCCTTTTTCTCTTGAGGTTTTCCATGACTTCAATCATATTTTCCATTTAACTAACAACCGTCAAAAATGAATAGAATACCAAATACCTCGCGTCCCAGCTTCCACATCCCTTTGAGTCTAGACAGCAATATGAACGCTCTCTCCGACTGCCTATCGGTCCGGAATGGACGACCAAAGAGACATTCCAGAACGCCACGAAGCCCCGCATCATGCTCAAACAGGGGGTTATCAAGCCACTACAGAAACCTATATAGTGATCGGAGGTGTTTTCTTTTTTTCCTTTTTTTTTGTTTCTTTTCTTTTTCATTCTGTCACCCACCCTGTTCGTATATTTCTTTTGATTCTGGTGATACTTACCGAATCCACCAGGAGAATAGATCCAAAAACTATCTCCTATGTGTAAAGCTTATGGGATTGTTTTTTCTGCATGTATATTCTGTCCAGGGACGCATGGAAAAATTAGAACGGGAAATTTGTTAAAAATACGTGATATATTTAATTTCTGTTACTTTCGCTGGCGTTGTGATGATACCTATGATATTCCTCCCTGCAAACACCCTCCTTTATTAAGTCTATGATATATTCTATTCGAAGGAGTCTGCTGCCATTCATTGCGTGGCGGTATCCACCACTTGACCCAAACCTATGAATCATACACTGGTCCATTGACTTCCTCAGAACAACAAAACATAAATATTCTGGCCTCCTGATGCATGCCATAACTGCAAATTTCTCTGAAAAACGGTCTTCTGGCACAACCATGTAGTACAAACAAAAATACCCAGAGGCGATGCAGAAATATAATGAATATCTTTGTTTTATATTTATATAAAAAAACTTGTTAAATTTTAAATTGTTAAATCAAAGATAAACTTTCAGCTTAACCTTTTTTTAATAAATAAAAATAAACAATTGATATATTTCTCAAATCAAAAATAGACAAGCTGTATAATCATTAGATATAATTAATTCACCACTTAATGAATTCAAGACTATCAAGCTGTAACTAATCTTGTTATAAAAATGTAATTAATTTTATTGAAAGCAAATTGCAAATGTTGACTATCATTAGAAAACTTGAACAATTTTTAAATAATGGTCATCTCAAGCTATACTTTGTAGGTTTTATCTTAGATATTTATTTAATATAGTATCTAACAAACAATCTTGAAAAACATAATATTCTTATCATAATAAAGGGAATATAAAATTGAAAACAATCACTAAAACTAGTAATGTAAATAAAAAATATTTTCTATCTGTTCTAATTTTAATACAAAGATGAATTTGAATAACATTTCTCAGTAAGTTCTAGTTATACTTATACATATGATATTTATGTAAATCTCTAGTTATCAACAACAACAAAAAGAACTTAATCTGATTGTTCTGTCTTAGAGCTATCATAACTGGTGCCACTGAGGCCCCTCAAATTATCAGGGTTAACTATAATGAGTGGGTCCAGATTACATGCTCAAAATCCACCAACCTGATACCGGATAATCCATGATTCTCCATGCAGCATGACTCCATCAGCTGTTCCGTGGTAGTTCAGAGTGATATGACATTCAAGCTGTAAGCGGAAATTCCCGTGTAATTAGAGGATTCCATCCGGTTCTCACTCAAGCACCTGTCAAGGATCTTTGTGTAAAACAGGTCGATCACGTGCAGCAGCTAGTTCATATGACAGACTTCTCAAAAACCTGTGAAGGGGAAGTTCCAACTCTCTGTAAACAAGACAGAAGACCTCACAGAGAGCAGCTGAGAGAGAACAAGGATATCACAAAAGCGCGTGTGCTAACCTGCTCTAAGCTGCTCTGTTATTCAATAACTATAAAACACACAGGATGAAATAGTCCTCAGCATCTCATCTTGGTCAGCAGTTGATGGAAATGTTCAAGGACAAGCACTGGTAAGAGTATGTGGGTGGGTGCCACAGTTTATTCAATAAAAGACGCATCAGCCGATGGAAATGAATTAATTCACCTTATGGAGATGCTGTCTTCTTTCTCCTCACAAGAGCTGCGTGTTGCTCTCAGCCTTGCAGCAAGAAAAATGGAGGGAGGGTAGGGCAAAACGAAGGGTACTTTTTTGCTATATCCCTCATCCACGGGCCTGGCCTTTCCAAGGTGGTTCTTTAGCCGCCCCACAGAGCCACCGCAGATCCGAGCTAAAGGAGATCAGAGGATCTCCAGCAGCGCCAGCACCCGAGGTCACCTAGTTGACGAGACCCACTCTGTATCAGCAGAGGGGTAGCTTGTTCCAACGTCATTCAATACGAAATAAGGAATGTTGTGAATTCTCAGAAGATGACGACGACGGCGGCGGCGACGATATATAAAGGAACATTGATTGTCTGATCTGAACCCTTTTGAGGAACACATCTGATGTTGTCAAATTTGGTTTTGATCGAGCACAAATTTGGATGCTGTGATTTTCCTATCAAGATCCATTCATTATTTATTTATATATTTATTTACTTTTTTGGAAGCTAGCTTTATTTGGTTGTGATTCAGGTAATTATAGACAGTTACTGGATCAAGTGTCTTAGGTGAGCAAGATTCCCTCTGGTTACATTACATCGCACGTCAGTTATTCGAGGAATGTCAATTGTCACTATTAGTTATTACACATCACCCAACACCAGTTATGTTCATTCTCCCGCTGTCCGCTGTCTTTATCTTTGCATCTTCCTTTTCTCTGTGCTAGCTCTTGTTTAACTGATCGTCTCTCTCTCTCCCTTCTTCTTCTTCTTCTTCTTCTTCTTCTTCTTTTTTTTATTTTTTTTATTTTTTTCCCCACCCGCAAAAATGGGCTTGCAATATCCTTTCCCCATTGGACGAGGAGGCATCTCTCCTGCCCCCTTTTTGAGGCTCCTCCCACGTCTAAGTTTCCTATTTCTTCATCTTCGTCTCATGTCGAACAACACACTCTCTTTACTTCTCTTCTCTTCTCGACTCTCTCTCTCTCTCTCTCTCCGTCCTCCTTTCCTTTGATTTCTCCCTCCTTTTGCTTGTTCTCACATTCGTTTCACGCTCCTTTTGTTTGGTGTCGGGCCCTCTCAAAGGGCTTCAGCCCTCCGCCAGTTACTTGCAGTGGCTAGAGAGGTTTTCCTTTCTCCTGCATCCTGTTGTCTCTAGCCTACACTGTTGTAGCGCTCCATGATAACAATTTCCTTCTCCTGCTCCTCTTGCTCATTGTTTCTTTCGCCATCGACAGTGGCCGTCTCTCATTTTCCTACCCGCTCCTAAGCGCAACTGGTTTGCGGCGTTGATTAGCACCATCAGCAGATGGTATTCTCTACGTCAATATGGCTTGTAGCCATGTTGCTGATGGCCATGCAGTGCCTACCTGGAGTCCGAGCTTTTCGTTGTCATTCAGGTTTCAATTGTCCGTGCGATAATGTGGACGTTGACATCCCTTCCTTTTCTCTCGTGACTCAGTTTCCACCAACTGGTGTACAGCCGCAAGTTACTAGAACTCCAGGGGTATGTAGTCTGTTATATACAAATGTCCTGCCAAAAGACACCTAAGGGATTTTATTAACAGGAATCCCCAGGTATATCACACTGAATTAGAGAAAGACGTTCGCGATAGCATGCAACCATTTCCAACAGGCATCTCCTACGTCGTATTTGATGATCATATTGGGTTACCTCACCCAGAATATCCGCACCTAGATATTGTCCCTTCTAAGGTTCTTTATTCCAACTCCGCTTGTTATTACAAAGGCAACTGGTGCCCTGGCCTTCCGCACGTGGAAGAAAATCGAATTTCTAGTTGGCTCCTTGACCAAAGCACTAGATCCCCAACTAAATTCGCTACAGCGACTTCATCAAAGGTTCGATCCGGATCACCTTATCACAGTTCACTATATCTGGCACCCAGTTCAACGTCAAGAAGCCCTCCAAGAGGAACTGCTATTGTCCACCCTTCTGGAACAGCGGGGCATTCGCAAACTTCCGAAATATCAACTAATATTCCCCATCCCACTCCAACCAGTATGTCTCACCAAGATATATTCGAACCAATCGACAAAGGTCCAATCCCATCCAATATCAATTCAAGATCTGACCATCCTGTACAAAAGGATCATATTGTAAGTTCTTAGTCTTGTTCTAAACTTGGATTGTATTCTCACATCAATTTGCAGTCGGATACTCCTGGCCCAATATCTACAAACAAGTTTTACGCAAACTTCTTTCTTGGCTCCCAGACCGGCTATGCGTTCGTCCATCCATACGCAGTGGGATGGGCCAAAGGGACAGGGAATGCAAAAAGCTATGGTGTCCTCATATCTCATATAGAATCCCATCAACTGGCGTTTGGTCCAAAGAGCCAGTCAATTCCTGGCAATCCAGTTCAGTTCTATATCAATCCCATTGGGATTCAGTCGATGATTTTGTCTGCATCTGAACTTGGTACTTCCACTGTCTTGACTGTTTCAAAAGCCAATGCATTTTCCGCGGACATTATTCTCCGTCCCAATCGCGGTTCAAATTCTACCATTATATTCCCTTTAGTTCAAGGCATGGGGTATGTAACCGGTCTATACATGAGTCTACAGCCGGCGATACAGTCCAGTGTGTTTTTCCGAAAGCTCGAATCTGTAGCCTCTCCCAAGCCAGGCATATACAAATACAGAGTCACCCTGGAAGACAACACCCATTGGTTGATTTATGTGACACCCACAGGAAACGGAGGTAATCCAAACCTCGTGCTGGTATCAAATACCCTCATCAGTGGTCCGACTGGGTTTAGTGGCATTATCCAGGTTGCTAAAAACCCTAATGGCTCAGCAGGGGAGGCAATTTACGATCGGACGACCGGTGTTTATCCCACAGAGGCCCATATATCAGGGTCTGTCGTGGCTCATCAAGCGATGGGGACTTATAAATTGACTTGGCAGAAGGCCGGGAAGAATGTTAACAGCACCCCACTGCTAATGTTCGCATTGCCTCACCATGTTCAGTCTTTCGACACTCACACCCAGCACATGAAGACAGACATGTTTCTTCGAACAACAACAAAAGGGAATGCAACTGCCTGTGTGGGAAATTCATGGACCATGGTGGAAAAGAATCTTCCTGTTAACATCGGATTTGGCCCTTGGAATCCAAACACCGGAACAGAAGCTACTCTCTCCAATGCCACGAAGCAAAGGATTAGACATGTGGCGCCAAGCGAGCTCTCCCAAGATATCAGTCGGCAAACAAATCTCAATAGCATGTACTTTAGCGGGAAAGCACTCAATAAGTTTGCGATGTTGGTGTACACCGTTTATGAGTTAGTTAAGGATGCCAGCTTGTCGGAATCTGCTTTCAGCTCACTGAAAAGTGCTTTCGCAAGGTTTGTTGATAATAGGCAAATCTTTCCACTTGTTTACGATACTGTTTGGAAGGGCGTTGTCTCATCGGGAACCTATGTGACTGGGGATCCGGGGCTTGACTTTGGCAACACTTTCTACAACGACCACCATTTCCACTACGGGTATTTTATTCTTGCTGCAGCTATCATTGGATATCTTGATCCATCCTGGGTGGTTGCGAATAAGGGTTGGGTTAATACCCTTGTTCGCGACGCCGGGAATTCGGTCTCAAATGATGATTATTTCCCCTTTTCCAGGGCGTTTGACTGGTATAGCGGCCACTCCTGGGCTAAAGGATTGTTTGAGTCCTTCGATAGTAAAGATGAGGAATCTTCATCGGAGGATGCCATGTTCGCATACGCCATCAAGATGTGGGGAAAGGTCATCAAGGACCGAAGCATGGAAGCTCGAGGCAATATGATGCTCGCAATTCTTTCGCGAAGCTTCAACAACTACGTCTTGATGAAATCTGACAACGTTAACCAGCCGAGTAATTTCATCGCCAACAAAGTCACTGGAATAGTTAGTAGCAGCACACCCTTTCCATCTCACCATTTTCTATTTGGTGCTGACACTCCACAGCTGTTTGAAAATAAGGCTGACCATACGACCTATTTTGGTACCAACCTCGAATACATTCAAGGGTGAGGAAGATAATCGACCGGCAGCTTTAAATTGGGGCTGTAGCACTGACTTTATTTAGTATTCACATGCTTCCTCTGATCCCTTCCTCTCCCTATATCCGTGGAAAGGGATTTGTGAGTGAGGAGTGGAATGCGATGTTCGCGGAGAACGCCTCTACGCCTGCGAGCGGGGTTCAAGGAGGCTGGCAAGGGATATTGTATGCTAATTTGGCCATTATCGATCCGAACGCGTCCTGGAATTTCTTCAACAAAGAACCCTTTGACCTGTCGAAGATCGATGGGGGGGCTACGCGGACGTGGTATCTGGCCTTCGCTGCAGGTAGGTTTTACCCCATGGTTATCCCCAAACGAACGTCTCGGTCGTTCTTTCGAGATATGTAACTAATGCCGATAACCTAGGTTTGGGTGGCGGCCCTAGATGATGACTTGATGGCGAGAGCCCTGGTTGCAGATTGGGACCCGGTGCTCATAGTTATACTCAACACGCCCATGCCACGGGGGTGTGGTAGTTTTTTGACATGGACTTTCATTGGTAGATAATATATAGATATTAATTATTTTTATTCCGTTGCATGATCTTCTGGGTTTTACACTCTCTATACAGCGCTGTAGAGTCGTTCATTTGGCTTGTTTGCGGAGAAATTACGTTCACGTGATTCCCCCAGTAGTTGACTGTATAGACGCTGTCCGCAAATAAAGAAGCCAGTTACAACTTCATTCTCTCTACTATTCTATTGCTGTTTCAAATAGTCTATTTCTGCTTCTTTACTGCTGCTTGATGTGCTTCATTTTCCATCCCATCTGGTGTAACACCACTATGGCTGAGCTTTCTCACCAGGATTGCGATATCAAATCATCGCGGCGCATCCATTAAGTGACTCCCTAGAACGTCCACAAGGTCTAATTCGGGAGGCAGAGTGCATGTACGATGTCTCAGCTGATCCTCAGGATGAAAAATCTGCCAAGAGGCAATCACCCTCCCCCCATTTTATCATTATTTGCCCTTGGTAAACCACAACTAAGTATGGATGAGTTGGTGCATGAGCGGGGTGGGTATAGCTGCACCCCAATCAAACCTCCATCCAAAAACCCCAAGACACGTTATCAATGCCAGTTGATCCTCCCTTTAGATATAACCCTATATCCACAGGTCTTATGTAGAAAGATGATTTTGTTGTATTTTATTTTACTTTTCTACTCAGGATTTTGACAGCTGGTAAATTTACATTTTACGGGATGACTGGGACGGCGCAATAGTCGATAATGGATTCTTGTTGATTCAGTGGCAGCAAGGAGGTCTGTATACATTTGCTTTCTCTGAGGTTGAAGTGTTGCCATAGAGGTCTTCAGTGTGCATATGTATTCAATTGCCCCAGTTCGTCTCAGCGATATCCCTCATAATAGATAAATAGTTATACATAAAAGGGTCTCGTTTACTCATATAGTGCATTCGTATAACTGGTTCTTCTGGTTGGTTCTGGGTAAACAGAGCAAACGCGAAGCCAAGAAAATGGAAGAGACCTCGCGCTTTGGGTGCATAAGTTGAATATCTCGCTCTCCGAGAGATCTACATGGGAGAGAGGGTTTCAGGGCCATGGTATACGTGGTTTTTAAAGTGGTTTACCGTATCAGGATACATATCAGTCCCTGGTGTTGGATGTTGTCGTGCGGAACTTGTGGAAATGTATGTATATATATATATATATATATATATATGTATATATAACTATCAACCAGCTAACTCCGAATAAACAGTTACATCTATATCGCTATTTCTATCTTGACCCACCACCCACCCCCATTGTCACCCAAATCCGCTCCGTACAGAAATTAAACAACACCTGCAGACACATCCTCCAGGCGTAGGATGCCTGCCCAACCACTTCAATCGTTGCAGCGCCGGCAATTGCGACACCGCGGGATGCGATGGCGTCGCTGAGGAGTAGGGCCGCTTTACACCCGTTTCAGATGACTCATCACCCACCAACGCTGTGGAGCGACTCTAAAAGGACACGCCTCGGCAACTCGAGCTTCGTAGGAGATGACGCAAGCTCGCGAGCGCTTTATTTGTTTATTTAGCAAGGGCATTTCCTCTTCTTCTTCTTCTTCTTCTTCTTCCTCTTCCTTTCCTCTTCCTTTTCTTTTCTTTTATTCTTTCCTAGGGGCTTCTGGGAAAATGATACGCCGGTGTGTCGGAAGGGAGAATATGGGGGAACAAACGAGCGGATTTCGAACTTCCGTCTGGATCGATGGTGTGCCTGCGAATTTGAAGATAGTGTCAAAAAAAAAGATAAAGCTGGGTGGGGATGGATGTCAGGACTACTTCGGGACTCCGTGCTGATCACGCTCATTCAACACCAAATTATGTCAAAGAGGTCTACGGCTTTCGGTTTCTTCGGGTCTTTAAAGAAGAAAAATATAAGAGTTGGGTGGTTCCACGACCCTTGGCTCTGTTTACTTCATGGATATTTATACGACAGTGTGTGGTTATGAAGACAATGGGTTGGAGGCCGCGCGCCAGGATATCCTACCTGCGAACTGGATGCATGGATTATTATTACGCACCGGATGGTCTTGTTGTGCTGTGTGGGACTATTGATGCGATTTTCCGACGGTTGATTATCTTGTCATCTATATGGGTTGGCGGTATTCAGATGACCTGGGCACATGTGAAAGGAAAAGAATCAAAGGTTGGGATACAGCTGTGTTGACATGTTTCGCGAATTCCCTGGTGTGGTCGAACCCGGTGGCATGAATGCGGAGCTACAGATGGACGACGAAGGAGTTGTGCTGGGGAGAAAAAAACTTTAAACAAGGGAGCTGAGCTCGACGGGATTCGATTGAATACCGGCGGTATCGGAAAGAGTTTATGAGGATAAATGTGGTTATGGGGTGATTCAGAACTTGACAGAGGCATCTATCGTTGCTACGCTGCGAAAGTTTGGACTTGACTTGTCGGAAGCATCATGCATGCTTGGGAGCGATTTATTCTCATTGTCTATCGGATACTGACAGGATGGTTGGATAAGACAGCTGAGGAAGAAAAATGAAAGAAAATCTCCCAAAAGGAAGTAATAGAAAGGGTGAAAGTTAGAAGGAGTGAAGTCGCCGGGGAACCAAAAATCAAAGACAAAAGACAGATCTTTCGACCCTGATACAGAACCCAACGGCGAAAATTAAACAATAAATTATTCAGCAGCTGATCACAAACCTAGAGAAAGTGCAGGTGCAAAAGGAATTAAACTAAAAACTGGCTCTGCTGACATCAGATCGATAATACCCGAATCAAGTGGCGGGGGCCTCCCATCCTCGACACATAATTCATCTTGCATAGGCCCTGCAAAAGAGCGATTTGAAGTTCTCTCAAAGGTTGATGTTGATGTTGATTGGCATGTTGAAGTCGATGTCACCCATGCAAACTTGGGACTATATTGAGTTTACTCATGTCAGCTGCGCTGTTGGAATTCAAGGGGAGTCGGAGGAGGTGGATTTGGCGACTTACCCCGAAGTTGTTATTGCAGCAGATAACGGTCTGGTCGCAGCTGACATTGGACTTCACGCAGTTGTGCGCTGTAAAAGGGTTGATATCATGGTTAGAACCTTCATTTCAAATTGCGTTTCAAGGGTGAAAAAGATTGCGACTTACATCCATCCTCAGTGCTGCAGCAGAATGGAGTGCCAGTGGAGCATTGGTTTGATTGTTGGACGGGAGCCGAGGAGGGGGGGGGGCAAAGGCCTGGGATGTTTGGCAGCTTCAACCCTCTGGCAGCGAGGACAGCCTCGATCTCGAGCATAGCATCTTCAGGGATAGGCTCAGGGTCGGGTGTGGGAATGGCAATCGACTGCGAGAGCAGCATGAGGAGAGAAAGGAAGATGGAGGATGAGATGAACTTCATTTTTGCGGTGGAAATTACTTTATTTCTTCCCAAGTAAAAGGAGCAAAGCGAGTGGATGTGGAAGAAATTTGCAGTTGTGGAGAGCTGTGGCGGGAGAGATGGGAATGGATGAATGGATTTTTCTGGCGGCAGGTAGGTTCAATATGTACCAAGCCTTTTCTCCCTTTTTTCCTTTTGCACACTCATCACTTGCTCTCACTGCCCCCCTGAGGTGGAGGCAGCAATCTTGAATTTTGACTATGAGTTGGCACCAGCACCAGGGCATCTCGTGTTGAGGAGCTAAAAATAAGTCGAATATAGAGAACAAGATTATTTGCTGTCCGGACCTAAGCTTGTGCCTACTTTTTGAGACATAAGGGCATCTTCTATTGGTGCGCAGAAAGGCAGAGAAGGAGCCCAAAAAGTTAAAACTCCCTTGGTTATGGGGGGTATTGGGTGGTGGAGAGTTTCTTTTTCCTTTTTCTTTGAGGGCAGCAATACGAACACTCCACGATCTGCAGTGAAAAGAGCACCCGGCCCGAATCTAGCTGGCCCACGTGAAAATTGACCAGGCCGAAGATATGATGCACCATATTAACACAGCTGCATTTAGAATTTCTTTTCAGCTCATTTTGCAGGTCCTTATTTGCTGTATCTATGAACTTGTTTATGGTCTAGCAGGGAAGTCGACCAAGTTGCGGTTCACTTTTTGCCAGTCCAGCGCATCTGGTGGAGACATCTCACTCGGCCAGGCCTTCCACCAGCAGAATTTCTTAGTGGCAGCCTTATGCACTCTTTTTGCACCGAGCTGAACAAGCTGTGAGATCATTTGTGATAGACGGACCCCAGACTTTTTGAGTTGCGGGGAGTTTCCCGACTATTGCTTTATGAATCTCGCCTAAGCATCCTGTTCCTGGCTTTCGAGTCGTAAACCCTGATGGTCCAAAGTTTATTGTGGCACTGTGCCCAGTTGGTCAGGAGTTAAACAATATGGAGGCTTGTGCTTATTACAGGCTTTCATTGATGGGGGGTGTTGGCCTGGGCCTTATGCTCGCTATACGAGGTACCGATGCATCCGCCATTTTCTGATTGGCTCCCAGAGATTTTGTTGAGGCTCGCCAAAACGGTCAGCTTTATTGACACCCGGCGTAACAACCAAGCTTGCCGGGTAAAATTTTTATATTGCTCGAACTGCTAGTGACATCCCGACTAACTTAGCCCAATCATCAGAGACGGACCGTTAATATTTTCTCAAGAATTTTTTAAAGACTAATTATACTTATCGTGCGGGCTCAAGTATGAAAGGATTGTGGGTACTTTACATGTATCGTAAGGAGAACAGCGATTTGTTTCTCTGGACAGAAGGCGACCCTTTTGGATACATCAATATGATAGATTACCGGTCCCGAAGATGCTCTTTTCATATCCTTCTCACATGGCATCCACGATATGATGCTGTCAGAAGCGGATCTGAGACATTGATTTGTTGAAAAAGGACAAAAAATAAAAAAGAAAAAAAAAGAAAAAAAGAACTTTGGGAGAGATATACTTGCATGCGCTGTCATATGGCTTAGTGGGCGTTTGGAGAATCGGCTTGAACCATGGGCCAATGTCAACCTCGAGATCCTGCTCTATATCTTTCCCGTTTGGACATATCAGTTCTTGTTCATTGTGATTTACCGCCACCAAATCCTTCATGCTCGCAGCTGATTTGTGAATCTTAGCGAGGATGCAGGAGCGCCAAAGGCACAGCTTATGGGCAGATGCCGGGATTGAGGCTCAAATTTTCTTTCTTTTTTGAGGGGCATCTGGTGAAAATCGAAAAGCATACCCCTTCTCCTATATGACCTATTGGGCCTATGGGGCCTTTAAGCTAATCAGGTTTGGGCTAGCATACTCAGCTGTGATGAATACCCGTCAGCCAAGCTCAGGTTTTTCGGCCCTGATTTCAAAGTCTATCGACCACACCACTTCATCTGCCCTGCCTACGAGCAAGGCTGGGCTAGCAGCCACGGTGAAAGCATATACTTGCAGCGGTCTGGATGCAACATGATTTGCTGGTTGGCTATTTTCCTTGAGATCCTGTGTCAGTTTGATACGAGTCTTTCGATTTGCCCAGGCCAAAACCCAGCTCGGTTTTAAAAATAACAACGTTCATTCTTCACAACTTTAACGCCTTCGACTCACAGGAATGGTCAAGTGTTAGCCCATTCATGTGAACGAAAAGGAGCAGGAACTTTCAGTAGGGGTAAACTGAGATTGGAGGCTCCCATTTCGCTTGTCCGGGAACGCCAGCATGTCAGCCACGAGACATCAACGTGTAAGGCACCGTTTGTTTGGCACGATGAAATATGCCATGGCTTTTTTTTTTTTGGGTTTCGGCGAAGTGAAGCTCCATCGCTTTGACGGCAGGAAGCTGGGGCGCGAGGGACAAGAGACCGTCACTTCAAGCGAAGAAGATTTCTTCAATAGAGGTTTGGAAAACCCCAGGGGAAGGCCATCCAGGAAATGCATAAATAGGACCTTGATTCCCGCCGAAATGTCAACTTTTTTTTCTTCCCTCATCATCAACAAGCATCAGTACAATCTTCTAATACTCACTCTTCTAATCTAATCTCAAAACTTTCGTTTAAGAATTCTTCTTAATCAACCCCCAAAAACCATCAAAATGCAGCTCTCCAACATCGTCGCCGTTGTCGCTCTCCTCGCCACCACTGCTGTCGCCAGCCGCTCTCCTCCCCGCCCACAGCGCCCATCCCGCCCAGTTGCTCCTGTCTTCCAGAGCATCCAGTGCTCCTCCGGCAGCCCCTTCTGCTGTGCTCCCGAGAGCACCCTCGGCACCACTTGCACTGCCATGTCCGGCAGCTCCGTCCAGTGCAACAGCCTCATTGTCTGCTGCAACAACAATGGCAGCGGTGTAAGTATTGCCAGAAGCAACAATCATTTCCCAACTTGGATAGACTAGTATCTAATCAGATAATCTTTCCAATATATAGACTCAAGTCTGCTCTGCTACTCTCCAGCAGCCAGTAAACTTCGTCGACCTGTAAATGCCCAATCGACACAATGGTCGCAGCGCATGACAAGTCGCCTTTCATTCGAGATGCCTTCGATTGACGATTTTACGATATCGATTACTTTCCCTCATCTTTCGGAGAACGGCTTTGGGCGATTGAAGCTGGGTCAGCTTGGCCTTACTTGATAGCTACTCATGTTTTCTACCTCTTCCTTTTTGCGCATGGCCCATGGTTCTGTTCGCACCTACAGATAGACTAATGTTTTGGGGGATGTTGAGATTTTCTTTCATTCGCTCTTTTCTTTTTTTGCACACTGTTTTGTTTATGTTATTTTGCGGAGAGTTAATGGATGAGGAGGTGGAAGTTGTTAATTTGAGTTATTGCGGGGAGTGAGTTGAGATTGTCCAATCTGAGCTTGATAATCCTGATTGATGGCTAAGGCGTTTCATTGACCTTCTTTCGATGGCCCGGGAAGGAAATTTGGTGGGACTTCTCGATCCTGTTTCCTTTCTCTAGAATAGTGACATGGAGAAGCTAGCTTATTCAATGGAAATGCCTCATCAATCATTTTTTGCTTCTTAACTTTCCTTTATCATTTTTTTTTTTAAAAAAACAAACCACAAAAAAATCTCGGACATTTTCCTTTTGTGAAATTTTTGGTTTTAGTCTGAATGACTCGCATAACAAGTGTAAATGGACCTATATCAGGGGCTCCTAAGTTTCAATTACTTCGTAATGTTCTAGCTCTTGGGAATCCTTGATTTCGACCGACAAATCCGGGTTTCAAATCTCTTTGATTCATGCAACCTACAACGCACAATACCTCCACATTTCATTTCATTTCATTTCATTTCATTTCATTTCAAAAAAAAAAAAAAAAAAAAGGAAAACTGGGGTGTGATATCGTGGAGAATGGATAGATTTCACATGCGGGATGAACACATCAATTCATCATCCTGTCCCGACTGGAGTGAGCTGAAGCTGGAACACCTGACTGGTCTTCTTCTTTGATCCCCCGGCCTTTGCGGTTTATAACTGGTTGACACGGGAAATGCACGACAGGTCAATATGATGGGAACATATCACGGGCATTGTTATAAAAATAGAATAAAATGCTCCAAAATTTACTCTCCATATCTGCATTTGTGGCTAAACGCCTCTCTTCCAACGTGGAAAGTTTGGCTCGTCCTTTGCTCATTCGCTCGTTCGTCTGGCTTTGCTTGTCTCCCGCAGAACGATGGGCTTGATTTTGGTGGTGGCGGAGACCCTGGGCCTAGCCAATAGCATGTCCAGCTGCCACCACTCCACCAAACACCAAACGGGAGGGAGAGAAGACAGGTTTTGTTCCCTGTAGGCCCTCGCGCGGGATGTGGGGTTGTGGGCGTGGGGAAGCCGTGTGATTGATCGAAATCTAACATTCATGTAGTTGTCATCGGGGCTGATCTAGAGCATTTTAGAGTCATGCTTTTCGGCTGACCGTGACGACCAGTCAGGGCTGAGGCGTTGTGGAGGCAGGGCATCTTCTTTCCAGCGACTGAGAGCCCAATCAGAACGAGCCTTGCTTCAAATGACCAGCATTTAGATCAAGCTTTGAGATCTCGGAAGTTTACAAACTTCGTTGTTGCAAAGATCATCAAGGCATCGGTCCGCATACAAACAGGAATCTTGTGATTTACTAACACTTCCGAAAAGGTAAACCAAACCCAAGGTGGCTTTTTCAAAAGAGCCAAAATAAAGCCATTCTCGAGGTTCCTAAACATGAACCTGGCTGGGGTCTACTGCGTAGGAATCAAGTAGCCAGGATTTATTTGGGGAGGTCGTCTCGGACAATATCCACAATCGGGGCTCGAACTGTGGAGTTAGAGTTTACGCGCTAAGTCAGTGCTAAAGAGAAGCAAGCAAAGGCTCTGTATCAACGTCAACAGCATGCAGTCGGACAGCAGAAAGTGAGATCTTCACAATAGGAGGCAAAAGTTTGGATCCGCTTGTGGTTTTCGCCCTCTCAAAAGAACAATTATCGCAAGTTGTGAAGTGGGGGGTTCAACCATCGCGGAATGCGCTTCGTTGAGACTTCCACCCGGTTTGATGGGCGATCACCCCCTTTTTTTGGGCTAGCGGCTGTGCTTCTTTCGCCTCCGCCGGCCTCTTACAGGCCAGCTTCCTCCTGAAACTGCTAAAAAAAACGGCACTCTCTTTGGCCTCTTGGCCGTGTGTTGGTTGCATAAAGAGACTGAGGACATAACCCCTGCCTTGGTTCGATAATCTCTTTTTTTCATAGCAATAATTCTGAAAGAGTATAAACAGGGAATTGTTTGTTGGCGTCACTGTTTTGTCCTCTTCTCTAGTTCCTGTTCTCACCAAATGTCTATTTCTCGCTGTTTTGAGGACATGGTATCCACTTAATATTATCGGGGTTGAGAGGAGAAATGGTCTAAATGAGATCTACATTGCTGAATCCCAATACCACGACCGGTGTTGATGGGCTGGCCTCCAGCGCAAAGGAGTTGTTTCAAAGTCTAAAGCTGCGTTTTCGGTCCACTGTTGCAAGTATGTTTGGGTGAATTCAATTAATCCATGTGGGGTTCATGGCAAATATTCCCTCTTATAACCACCCTTCTCATACACATTAAACTAAATGCATGATCGTACCCACGAACCCAATCCAAGCAGACGGGGATTCCGATCCTCTTTACCCTCGGCTTCAGATTTATTCTCATGCCGGGGCATCTGGAAGCCGTCTTGCTTTACCGACTAAGTGCCGATATCAACTTGACACCTTGAGGTGGTTAATTTCCCGTTCTGGATCGTGAGAATTAGGATTACCCACAATTAGTAAAACGTCATATAGAGCACTTTTTCAAGATTGTGCCCCATGAATCCAATGCAAGCAGACGGGGATGCTGATCCTCTTTATCCTCGGTTTCAGATTTATTCCCATGCGAGGCATCTGGAACCCGCCTTGCATTACTGAATAAGTGCTGAGATCAACTTACCACCTTGAGGTGGATAATTTCACGTTCTGGATCGCCAGAATTAAGATCTGACGGTGTGCAAAGCTACTCTGAACAAGTCAGCTTTTGCAAATCGCAATTTGACTGTTCTCTAGTTGCAGTTGTGTTCATGATCCTGTGTCCCTTCTTTGCGCCCTTTTTCTGTGCTTCTCGGTGATGTGGCCTTGGAAGATGTAAATGATGTTGCATTTTTGTGGGATTGACTTGAACTTTTTGACTCCAAGAGGTGGAGTCGCACATCCTTGGTGACGGTGATTCTGGGGGGTATAAGGAATAGTCTCATTATTTGCAGCAGGGTGATCAAGGCAACGCATGGAAAGCACTGTGAATATGGAATAGCAGCTGAAGAGGATGGGGTGTATATCCATCCCCTCTGGCAATCTTGCGGAGGTAAAGACCACATTATCTTTTACCACCTCGCAGAGTTGCCCAAGGTAGGCTGTATTGATTTTTCGACTCTCCACGAGCTTATATTTAATTGCGTCTAGCCAGATATCATAAGGAGGAAGTGCTAATCATCTTGAAGAAAATTGATCAGGTCCCTTTGCTGATACTTCAAAGAGCTTTGTACCTGCAGCATTCTTCAAAGAGCCTGCAAGAGCTTGTTTACCGTAAAATCTGTTAAATGCTCCAACACCCGTTAGCTCCCAATCACGACCTGGTCCATCTTATCGCGCTGGATTTATATATGGAGAGGTTCACCATTCTGCTTATCACCTTCACGGACAACAGACAGGCTGGATCCAAGGCCCAACTGATCGGGAACATTACACCAACCGTACGGCCCAGATGAGCGAAAGAAGGTTCCAGGAAGTATGGGGGAGAAGTCCTTAGAAGATTTGGGTAACAAAGGGCCCTAGGAACATGGACTCTGACAGACGAGTGTTGAACACACTTGATGATGATGCTGCAGATGACATGGATGAAAAGGAATAAGAACGAATGAGAAGACTCAGATGACTGGGAGAAATCTGATGGTAGGGGTCACCCGTCACACTTGCTCAACTGATGGATGGGCGGTCAATGCCTTGATTGATACTCCCAAAACTGAAGAGTGGTGAACAGGGTTCAATACTTTGCTTTCAGGAGAATAAATCACCTGCTTGTAGCTGAAAATCGAAATCAACAGCAATTCTTTGCTGGATCGGGAGCATCACCAAACTCACGCACATAATTCGGGACATGTGTCTAATACGTATAGTGAGGACCGCATTACCCAACAAATAATGATACCAGAACCCACTGTGTGGTATTTCGTATATCATCCGCAAAACGGTGCGTTGGGGCGAGTGGAGGCATCTCTGGCAGCTCACGCCCCTCTCGCAAGCACTAACACGACGCTGTAACTTGCAAAGGTTAAAGCAAAGTTGAGGAGCCAAATTTATGACACGTTGCCAGATATACTCCTCAGGTCAGTCATGAGGTGCTCATCGGCAGCGCTGGGTAGGCTAGTTGCACAGGACTGGTGAGGATTTGTGGTTAACGGGAGAAAATATGTCCTGTACATTCGTATATATTGAGCATCGCTGAAAAGAGCAATCATTGCATGCACGCAAGTATTGAAATGGGCATGAAAACATCTAGAAGGCCGACATCTGGCCAGACGCGGATTTTAAGAGCGTAACGGCCGCGCGAAGGTGTTAAGCTATTTTTCGGTTTGAAGATGTGACAACAAGGTTAGGAGAGTATAATGTTCGTTCCATGGTTGTTGCCCTGGAGCGGCAAGTTTAACTTTATATCTTCCTCATAGATCGGAACCGTACAATCACACCGTGCCATACAATCTTGCTAGCAGAGCTAAGATAATAGAAGAAAGATCTTCAGACATCTGTCAGCCTCCTACCAAGAGGTATGAGGAGTTCAGGATGAGTTATTCTTGGGGGAGATCCGACATACGATGCCACAGCCATCTCGTTCGTTCCTTTAGGGATGAGATGGCGTTTCGAAGGAGGTGAGTTTCTATAAATTCGCGTAGTTATATAAGATCAATATCATGTGATCTTGCGACCGACCAAAGCTAGATCTTGACATCCATCTCTCTTCGTTCATTCGACTCCCAAAAGCCAGCTGAACCCCCGATGAGTATGATCTTGTTACTTCCAAACAGTGGAGTCCTTTACATCATTTTATCGTCGACCTTGATTTCCTTGGAAATACAGTGTTATCGCGAGCACTGTTGCTCAAAAGCATCTCTCTGGTTTCTTCTGTGACGAATTCGTGCGATCATACCCCAGCTGCACATTCCCTCCATCACATGACGAGCTGGAATGGATTCGAGAACTGCAAGCAGGTACAGAATGCATATAGATATTTCTCTTCAATCACCCCGTATTTTTTGGGTACGCCTCCTTGTACCTTCTAACACGATGTGTGGGCCGTGACACCGCCATAGCCCTTGCGGGCAAGGCATATATCGACTCGTAAGGAAGCATTATACGTCTCAAAATTAAAACGGTGTTTTATCGAAATGCGTCTGCATCTCCGAGATTGGTTTCAATTTCTACGACGAACTGGCGCCCTTTGTACTTCACGCGAGATGATGAGGTCTCCTTAGGTGTGGCAGTCTTTGAATCCATAGCTCATCTCCCACCATACGTCTTGCCGATGTAATGCACATCATGGCCTATTTCTCACTTGGGAGGAATACGGGATATGTCAGTCTCGGTCGTGCCTTTAGGGGAGCTGTTAGTCTCTATAAGTTTCTTCACAACTCGTTGACATCTAGAGTCGATTAAAAAGTGCGCCCATTTTGGGTCTGACTCCCAAAATTCCTAATGTGGATATCGTTCTAGCGTCCCATGCAAATGGTGCACTCGGAAATTCCCATCCCCCTACCTAAGCCGATACATGATCCAGGCTGGCTCCTGATATGCGTTGCCTACCAAAAATCTGGCTTTATTCATGTGCAGTTAAGCAGCTGCTTTTGTCCAAGTTGATTCCTGAATCAGTACGATATTGCATAGTTGCCGAAATCCTTTTGGCACTGTTGTTTTGTGCCAGATTTTCAGATGAGCTTCAATGGACTTTTTCACATGAGTGTCGACGGGTTGCACGCTTAACATTCTATATTTCACAGCAGTCAATGAACTACAGATCCCACGAGAATCTGCACATTTTTAAACTGGAAAGATGACCTGAGGAGCTGTAGACAAAATTCCTCGTGATTTCTCTGCTTTTTCATGATATGGAGATGCTGGATATTCTGATTTCATGGAGTTTGTTCACAAAAACCGCGGCGCAATCAATGCCCATTATCACCTTCGAATTATGATGGGAGATTCTGAAAACCTGTTCTTTGGGAGCAGCCAAATGTTTATTAGATCCCTCCTGTGTTAGCCATTGCAGCAATGAATCTGTACTGCCTTCATAACCACATCCATGTTCAATTCTCAAACATTTCTCTCTGCACTGCGATTACTCTATGGAGCCAACATCGCTGGTTCCTGGCCCTCTCAACACGAGTTTCGCATCTCTTTTCTGGACTCCACCGCATGGTTTCTCTGGTTTCGAGTTGACAGCTTGTTTAAATGGTATCGTGGGGCTGATGGTCTTGTGAAGCGTCCTGGTCCTTCCTCCTGAAATGGAGATACGGGACAAGCGCGGTATATGTTACTTTTGGAAGTTCATATATTGACCCTGGGCTCCCTTTACTACTTCGCGACCACCTTTGATGCAAGTTTTCCTACTTCCATGTTAGATATTTGTGACAATTATTTAATGGATTTGCTATGCTCTTTAGGATGTTTGGGATCGCTACAACGGAACCATGACAAAGAAATCTCCCCGAGTGCTCTTATGTTCACATATAAGGGATGCGCATCGCAGTATCGTTTGAACACATCCCACCCAACAAATTGCTGTTTTCAAGATTTTCTTGAGAATCGAATATCGAAACATCTAATCCAATTTTGAGTAAGGAATTTGGAGAAATTGATGGAGAGAAGGTAGGACGAAATTGACCCAGATCACAATATGGTTTATGAAAGGGAAACGGAGCAGTTCGTGTGGTCTTATTCGCTTTTCGTTCCGTATGACTGGAGAAAATTTAATGTCTGGGAGATATGGTGATACTGAGGTTTCCTTTCTAACTGATACATCTAGGGTTGAGAAGATATCACAAGGTATGAACAAACAGACAAATTATATGGCATCTGTTCCCTTAATGTCTGTTATTCCCTCTCTTTCGACTTTGCTAGTTAAACTAAGTGACTAAGGTCTCTGCTTGTTAACAGGTCCAAGTTTCCTTGGAAATCCTCCTTTGTTCTAGTGAGCTCATTTTAATCAAGTGTCGAAACACACCTGGTTACCATTTCTTTGTCGGAAATCGCTCGGGCACTCTTTTGGCTCTTGAGTATCCGATTTCATTCATCTCGTCGGGATGGATCCATGGATCAAGTCCCCAATTTTGTCCGGGACGGGCCGTTGCGAATTTCGGATAGAAATCTAGAATCACGCCCTCTCCAACCCCCGGATATTGTTGAGGCAAAGTGCAACGTTTGCGGTCCCCCACATTCCCACCTTGGTTCACCCATGGTTGGAATCTCATCGGTGATGGGCGTTTAACGTTTACATCTTACTGTCTCATGGAGTTACTGGCCGTCCTCGACAAGAAACGGTGATGTTGGGCCCCTGGCTCTTGTACTTCAAACGGTCTTCCGATATTGAATTTATTTCGTTTGATTACGACTGGCTGCTAGACTAGTCATCCTTTTCATGTTCAGTCAGTTTCATTTTGAAAACTTCTGAAGGCGGACTTTTGTCACAGGACTTAAAATGTTGTGTACCTCTTTGGAGTTGGTTGATGAATTTGAACCCTATATTTCCCATAATTATATCGATTCATCCAAGTCTGCTAACACAGGATATCTCGCTGACGGTAAACAGCATGGGTTATTGCAAGGATCAGCTAAAGAACTTGCTGATAGTTCAAAAGGCCATCAGAGACTATGGAAATCCTCCATGAGCAGCGGATATGAGACTTGAGCTTGGTATCGTCCTCCTTGCAAATGCTCATTCGGTGTTTGAGAGCTGGGTACATTGACTCTTGTTGCTTGTGGGCAACAGATAGGGCAACGTAGCTGTTGATGTTGAAGAGAATACCGATCACTTCGAATGGGCTCGGACTTAGCTCACACTGATCTCGTGGAAGCAAAGTGACGATGAGCTTTACGGGAAGCTTGATCGAATCCTATCCTGTCGCCTATCTTCCGTTTCTCATCAAATTGCCGAAACTCTGGCGAGGAGTCATGCCATTCAATGCCCATGTTACCTGTTAGTGGACCAGAGCTGTCGATGTATCTTTTCTTCATCACAATGCTCACTTCATTCCAGTTTTGCATCTGATAGAATGCGCTAAAAAAAAAAAAAAAAAAAAAAGCCAGGGAACAGGGAATAAGGGGTAAATTACCAACCATGGCCTCCTGCCTCTGAACATTTCTAGCTGATATCAACTACATCTACGTCGAACCTGAGGATCTACACAACAGGGTCCACTGTTATGCAGTGTCGGACAACGCAATTCGATATCTTTCAGATGGAAATGGCTTCAGATGACTCGCAGATAACAAAAGACAGGAAGAAATGCACCCTGCGGTTTTTTTCTTTTTTAATCTACGGGGTATACAGATCTTCTATCTACATTTGTTAAGATTGGATATCCATCCACTTCCCTCACGGACGCTCCCCCCCCTCCTCTTTTTTTTTCAGTCCAGTCCTCTCGCAGGCAGTTGGCTCAGAGAGGACGGAACGGCCTTCGAACGTCGTCGACCATCCGAAGAGCAGCCAGTCTACATATAAGCTCTTCCCCCTGTGGCCACCAGATTCTTAGTTGTTTCCCAACAGCTACTCGAAGCTAAAAGGATCATTGCGGGTGTTACTGTCCTTCTGACTGTCCAGTTCAATCTCCTCCGATCAATGGGCGCTAGCTAGTCAGATGCAAAGTGAATAACTAACCTTCCTCAGATTGTTCAAGACACACGTAACTTCTTGGTGCCGACTTCAGGGAGTATCTAGGAGAATATGTGAAGAGACGAGCCTCAAAAGGACTTTCAAGGCTCTTATTATACATGTTTCTTCGTTTCTCCATTCTTTACCTCCCCCAACCCCTCTTCACCTGTCCTTCCCACTTTCTAATATCAATGTTTCAATGTCTCCCATGCTTTAATGGATCCTAGGCTATTTTATAGATAAATGAATACCTATCTCCACCCATTCCTTCCACGTTCCATATAACTCTTTTATTTCAATATTATTTCAATATTTCCCCCCCCCCCCCCCCCCCCCCCTGGGTGATATCTATGTACATATATACACGAAGGTTGCCTTTCCAAGCCCCGCCAACCACTCACGCGCCGAGTGCAACACCCAAAAATGTTCCCAGCGAATTACATGGCCAAAAGTTGCCCAGCCAGGACGGCGTAGATTTTTCTCCATGGGGTTCCCTGGCTTTTAATAGATCATCAAACGGTGCGAACGCTTAGCCTCCCCCACCAACCCACTCTTCCTAGGTATCAACCGTATCAGCAGCCCGTGCAAAGTAACATACAACGACCGCGGAAAGTCAAAAAGTTCACGTTCGTTCGCCTTGGAAGTGCAAATCCTATGATCAATCACTGCCCCGCATAGCCGATCCCTGATCGATGCCCAAATCGAGTGACGGGTAATTTTTATTTGCTGGTCGCTGGTTGGGTAAGTATCATGCTAAGGTTAGAGAGGGTTTCTTGAGAGTTGGGCTCTTGAGAGTTTTCTGTCTGTATGATTATGATATGATACGTGGCGGTGTTTGTGGGGGGAGGGGTGTTTTTTTTTTTTTTTTTTTTTTTTTTTTTTTTTTTTTTTTTGGGGTTGGGTAACTTTCTGTTTTCCGGCGAGATTGTTAGGAGCAAGCGGTAAGCAAGCGGTGTGAAGAAATTTTATCTCTGTTCTTTTCCCCCCCATTTTCCAATTCCAATTCCAATTTTATTTTTATTTTTATTTTTATTTTTATTTCTCGCTTTAAAGTTTTCTGCTTCTTTTTAACCCTGTTTTGCTTTTAACCAGGCTGATGTTCCAGAATTCGATCGAATTTCATATGAAGTGAAGTGCAAATAACTAAAGGCGGAGGGGGCCAACTCCTCCGTGCTCTGAGGATATTTATGTCGTCGTCACGATTTTCATGGATTATTTCGGAGTTCTTGGGGATGGGTTGGGCTGAACGTCTTCAGCCAGGATGAGAGGAAGGGAATTGGAAAAAGATTGACAGTGATATCTTTTCTTTGCTTCTCTCTTTTCATCACAATGGAACGGAGTACTCATTGTTTACCTCCTGTGATACATCTTACATCTTTCACATGCACATCTGCATCATGGTGCGGCTTGTTTTACGGACAATTTAACTGGTCCAGCATGGGGTTAAGTGGGGCTGTGCAAAATCAAGCCTGGTCAAGGTTTGATTGTCATCTCGTGTCATCATTGATCGATGCTGAACGGTTTTTTTTTTTTTTTTTTTTTTTCCGGCACAAGTTTAGTTCCTGAGGTTTTGTTGGTGAGAAGCCATGAGAAGCCAGAAGGTGACTGAGGAGATGATGATTGCCAGGCAAGTTGGCGAGAAAAACATCTTGCATGGTATTACTGTCAGGACTGAGCCGTCAATTGAGAAGAATTTAGGTGGTTATGTTTTTCGTAGAAGTATCGATGTTTGCGGTAGTTATCAGGAATTTCAAAATGCTCTCTGCTTTGTAGTTATCATTCCCGACGTCGCAAAAAAAGGAGATGGATGGAACCAAAAAAAAAAAAAAAAAAAAAAAAAAGAAAACAAAAATCAAAAAAATTAGAACAAATCCCACCAGTAGCCTGTGGCCC